CTTCATTATACCGATGTTCGCAAAGCGCTTTAAAGACAACGATTGCGAATGCTCTTCTCGAGGAAGCGAGCGACCGACGGACGGCAGAAACATCCGACCGGGTGTGTCCAAAGGTTAACGCCGTCGCTGGAACGTCAAACTCTTGCCAACGGAAGCTAGCGCCTAAGCTTGAGCCAATTTACCACCTAGATAAGCATCACACAATGCCCGAGCACATATGGTACGAATTTCAGACCTCCCGAATCTCGTGCGTGATATCTAAGGCTTGGAACGGTCCCGGGCTAACTGGAGAATTTCGTTTGAGGAACATTCGAGAGGCTCCGTGAGGTAGGGACGAGGGGAAGGGGCTGAGGCGGGCGGGCGGGCGGGCGCGAAGCTACTCGATTGCGGGCTTGTTCGAAACAATGGCGCCAGGTACCCGAATCGTCGTCAACTGTCAGAAGACTGCTGGTGCCGATAACGAAGCTCGGTAGAGAACTCTCTCCAACTCGTGCCATTCGGATTTCTCGCCACAAGCCTGCGCGTATCTCTCGGCTCGGAGCGCTAGAGCGCACCAACAAAAAAGGAAAAAATAGAATCAGCTACTCTGAGAAAGAGACCAGATGGTGATTGGCCGCTCGCTCAGCCGGTCGGAGTTCGTTGAGCTCCCCGAAACTTTCTGCCACGAGTCTCAATGACGGCCTTTGTGGTCCCACTCCGCTCCTAACAACGACCAGAGAGCCGTACTCCGATTCGGATGCGAAAGAGTCTGCGAGAGGACGAGCTACCACAGAGCCGGTGGAGCTCGCTCTCGCCATTCGTTCTTAAAACAAAGTCGGAATAGCTGTGGCCGTAGTCGGGATAGATTTGAAGTCGCCGGGCGAGCGTCGCCGGGACTTCGGACTGTGACCGTCCCCGAAAGCGGAGCGCTGTCTGTGGTCGGGAGAAATAATTTCCGTCGACGTTTCCGACTTGAGATCTCCCAGACAAGGATGCGAGATCGCAAGTTTCAAGGAAAGGCTCTCGCGAGTCGAATCTCACTCGTGGATTGATTGTTATGTCCCGATTACGAAGCTCGACGATTGCATCTCGCGAAATGCGAAATTCCAGCTTAGATCGTATGGAGTGCGGAATTATGAACCGAATTATTCGAGGAATTCGACGGCTTCGTTTCGATCGTCGAATAGCGAGCCGGACACGGATTGAGTCTCTGCTCGACAAGTCGGTCGATTTCTTCCAAATCGAACGATTGTGCCAAACGCGAGTCTCTCAACTCATTCAGCATTCGATTAGTCTTCCATGTGACGCCATTCATGTGATCGAGGCTAGTTCTGTTCGAGTGCAGTCGCTGTGAGAAAACGTGGGCGGCGGAAGAGAAAATGATAACAAGCAATGATCACACACCTCGCGGCTCAGCCAAACACGTGTGAACGATTCCCTGGAATTCGCACCACGGAACCTATGTATTTACATCGATCTCATTACATCCCACATGTTGTCCCGCTTCACTGCCCGCCCGACTGCCGGCTCTCCTGCTCAGCCGACTGTTTGTCAAGGATCTCTTCTTGAAATCTCAAAGTTAACCTCGAACTAGCTGGTACTGTCAGCCTTGCAGTTGCTGCTGATACTGCTGCTAGACTAGGGAGGAAACTGAAGAAATCAACAACAACTGCCAGTTGAAGGCAGAAAAAATGAGAAACACTTGCACGTCACGAACTTCCCGTTGACAGAGAAATACGAGCAATATCTAAGCTGGCTCGTGTCGACTGGAATCTCTTTTAGAAGATTGGGGAACGAGGCAGTGTTCTACATATGCTGCATCAATTCGTCATGGGTGGAATAAACCCGGGCTCAGCGTATCTCCCAACTGTTGCTCGTCAATTAGCCCATGGCCAACGGCTGCGCGTAGGATCGGCTCAATGTTGACGGTTGGGCCGAGGTGTATAGGACCCAGACACTCGGACCCTTGTCTCGAAGTCCCAGCGACCAGTCAAAATAGTTGTCAAGAGTTGTCACATACAAAGCGGCTCGAGGTCTGCATTCCGGAATTCGTCAACATACAGTCACTCGAAGCGCCGTTGGGTGGCTTGTCAGTCGACCTCTTCCTTTCGAGTATCCAAGGAGCCGTGGGTCGTGCTCCTAAATCATGACGGTTCTGGAACTTTAGAAGTTTGCCCATCCGCGAAGAGTGATTGGAGCCGATGAACGATCGCAATCCTCCGTTCCCTCAAATAAACTTTCCCAGGAGCTTTCGATTCCTGCTTCTGAGCATCGGAGTAGTGCTCTCGATCGCGCATTGCAGCTTCACGGAGTCGACCGTCTGGCCCGAGGGGACCGGAAGAATCCGCTACAACGTATCCCTGTCGTAGTGAGTGCGGTATCGTATTCCGCGCTTTCAGTTGAAGTACAGGTATCGTGATAAAATAAGTGAGAGAGAATCCGTCTCGAGACCGTGACAGGAGGAACGAGCGAGGACCGGACGCTACGGGAGTGAGCGCTCTGCCCTCGATGGACGCGACTTGTCGGCGGTAATTCGGCCTTGGAGGGATTTTTTCTTCTCAGAAAATCGTCGCCATTCTCTTTTCGTTCGCCATGCATCTGAAGCTCTGCTCTTCGTCTGCTCCTTCCGCGGCTGTTGTTTGATCGTTTCTCAATGGGATCGACAACTTCTGGCCGGTGGCGGCGTGCTGGAAAGCTCACCGGCGACCTGTCGACAACAACGGCTAGAGGGAATCGCTCTAGCCGGTTCCGTTTTCTTGTTTTCCCCTCTTCTCTTGCACTTGAGCTGATAGGAAATTTTTCTCTCGCAACGGCTCTACATCCGAATTTCTGGTTAGAAAATTGAAGCCCTCACGGCATCGTCGCTGTACCGCTTCGACGCCCCGGAGCAAGCCCTTCTCAAACTGCGGCTATTTCTCCATGGATACCGTGTGTTTTTTTCCTCGGTAGAGCCACCTGTGCCTTTTCCACAGATTCGTTGAATTATAGAATATATCTCCGCGTACATAAATCTCCCGGCCGTCCCGCACCGGTGCTGTTAGGGTTGATAGTGTTGCCAGGGATGAGCATCGATTTGTTGTTGCTTCTAATGCGACCCGATTTGTAAGACGAGGAGAAAAATTTAGAAGAGACGACGGATTCGTCTTCGCAAAGCTTATAGCATGAACGCCCGAGCAGCCCAGCGCTCATCAGCAATTGACCAACTCTTTATTGATGAGAGGCCAACAATAATGACCAAAGATCGCGGGTGTTTTTCTCGCCGTCTCCCGCTTGGGGTGGCTCCGTTCTTTTTCCTAGAGAAACCGGGAGAAAAGAAAACATCCATATGTATGTCGCCTCTGTCTTTTGCAACTGTGCTATTTTTCATTTTCCATACGTGTAACGCCAGCGTGAGCGTAGCCGTCGACTCGCGGTCTTTTAACCGTACGCAGATAGGAATCTCGAGTTTTGATAACAACGACAAACCAAGACGTTTCCATTCCGATAGTGCTCGGTATTGTGACGAACGGCACTTGGCAATTTTTTCCGACACAATTCAAAGCTGACCGATCGTATCAGCAATGGCAGCCAGGAACCCCTCAGTGGGAAGACTCTTCAGCCGGATCTTCCGCTGGATCTTCAGCCGGAGGGTGACGAGGCAGCAAGCGATACGCTGAACGACCGACCCGCGTATGAGCCGCGAAAGAATGAACTCTGTGTATCATCGGGTGGATCTTGCGCTTTATGAAGCGTTTACATAACGTGTCCTACCTATAACCTGTGATCATTATCAAGAGCCTATCGGCCAATTGTGCGCTGCCGATGTTACCACGATTTTGCGCGCGCGCGTGTCCGGCAGGCAATGAAGCGCGTATTGAGTGTTGCGTCCGATTCACGAACAAGCATTTGTAATGAGTGACAGGCGTCGAGGAACGCTGTTGTGGACCGCTGCCGCTGCGGGCCAGCGACCATGGCAGACGGTTCCGTAATAATTGACGGCTCTCTGTTAACTACACGGTCAGCTACCGCGAAAACCACTTCTGGATGTCTTCCAAATACCGGCGCGAGCTCATTTCTAGGGCGAGATTTATCTTTGATCCCAGGCGGTGCTGTCACTTACGAGTAGATCTTCCCGGGGCGCGTCTCCATTCAATTTTGCTCCAAGAAAAGGATTCTGAAATTTCTCGATATCGGAACGAACCTCAGCGGAGATCTCTCACGAGGTTCCAGAGAGAGCTCCCATCCCTGGAATATGTCAGACGTCCCCGTGGCCGCTTAATCATGTGGTTCATTTCACTCTTACCATGGTTGTATATCGTGATCCGGTACACCGGCCGGCGTCGAGACTTTGTCGACGCTGCTCGTTAGGCTCGTTTTCCATCTCGTCGTCAGCTTGCGCAAGATTTCCGAAGAAGTATCCAGAAAGCAGCTTCGGAGAAGGGTGAAATTCCTGTTGCTCATTTTTCTCTCCCGTATCGAGCTTGTGCAAGGATGGCCAATTTCGCTGTTTGCTTGTTTGTGGAGTGATTTATATCAAAAATGAAATTTCATCGATTTCATGCAGACAAGGAGACCTGCCATCCTATGACCACGGGGTTACCGTGGAGGGTCAGCTGTCGTGCTAAGTCGGCGATTTCCTGTCGACTCCTCGCCTGTACTTCAACTCGTTGATTGATACTTCTTGGTTTCAAGACTCGCGACGAAAGGGTTGACGCTTTGTTCGTCTCTTTTTTCAACCAAAAGATCCTCCTGCTACCGGGGAGCTACTGAATGACGGCGCGCGGATTGACGAATCGGATGAGAAAAAAAACACGGGAAAACTGTATCGCAATCACTCCGAAATCATCAGCCGCGCTGCTTCCCTCGCCAATGAATCCTCTGCCGGTGATCAGAATTATGCAGATATGAGATCTCAGCGTCAGAATCAAATCTTCGAATCCTCAAGGCCATCCACCAAGCGGTAAAGGAGCTTTTGCTCGTTATGCAGGCCGAGAGTCGGGGAGATTATCTCGATGAGAAGCAACGAGCCGGGGATGGGCAGGATGACTAATCGGGAAAACGAAGGGTTCTGCCACGATTTCATGTGGCGTTCAGGAATGCAGAAATACAGAAACAAAGATGTCATTGCGATTTCGGATATCGACCGGGACGTCGCTCGTCGTACCGAAGCGCGGAAAGCTCAGGCCCGTATGAAGAAGGTCTCGGCTATCGTTTTGAATCCGCCGCAGCAGCAGCAGCAACATCGCCGCGTTTAGCCGTCCCGACCCAGATTGCTTGAATGCGTTCAATCTGAATTTTTCCTCTTCTTCTGTTCGACGCTCCTGACATCGACGCCCCGTACAAATGGGAGGTATTCGGCGATTTTCGGTTCTTTATTCTCTTTCGGGAGCCACAAATCGTCGGCTCGACGGGTGGCTCTCGTCGGTAACGAGGTGAGATTCCTCGCTCGTTCAGCTAGATCGACCCACAGAGGAGCTCGAATCCGGGAGTGTCGATCCGCATACAGATCTCGGGACTTGCAACTTCTGTGTCGAGGTTTCCGACTGGGGCCAGCGTTCGTAGCTCGCAACGCCGATCCGATAGTCTTTTCGCTTGTTCTTCCGAAATCGTCGCTTCGCATATCAACACATTGTGACTAAGCGTTCAAAGCATACACTTGTCGAGGAGGGACTGGGTTTGTGAATGCCTCCGCCGCCGATGCTGACACGGGGCGTTTTCTTCTTTGGACAAGGTCGATTAAACACGTTGTCATGTCGTACTTCATTTCGTATTCATCACTCATCGGAGCAATGTATTTACTGCGCAAAGTTCGGGGACGATAATCACCGTCACGAAGCGTGATATTCACTGAATCTGACGACGACTCGCAAGGCTTTCTGCGAACTGTCATCTCCCAAAGAGACCGTTCGCATTCTGTTTGCGCAGCTGACGAAAAAGCTGTGTCAGCGGAGATCCCCAACCCTTGCTGCAGGCAGGACGATTGTAGCGAGAATCAGGAATGAGACTCCGATTCAGTGACGTAATTCAGAACGACGCTGGCGACTGAACTCGATTGTCTCGTTGAGCCGCTGGTGGTCCGCGCGTAGGTCTGTCGCAGTTTGAGTCATCTTGCTCAAAGCTACCGATGCATGCTGATGCCTTCTTACGATTTTCCCTCAATCGCTCTCTGGCTTAGGCGGTGTCGGTGAGCTCGTGTTCACTGCCAGGGCCAACCCGATACGAGCAACCAGCCGTCTGTCCGTCCGTCCGTCTGTTCCTCTAAGACTAATGATGATGATGTCGACGATGACGACGAGGCATAGAAGTAAGCGGAGTTCCGCAGAGAATCGCTTTAGTCGATCTCCCACAGCGTGATTTACTCAGCGACCAGTCATCGCCGAATCACCGGGCATCGGTTCCCAGAGGCCCAATGTAAAGGATGCGATACAGTATCCTCGATTTTTGTCTATATATCGCAAGACTACATACAAGCTTTTAAAACTGATGAGTCGTCGGTTGCGGGGGAGGATCCGATCTCGATTCGGGGAACTCATCGGAGACATCGAGAGCTTCCAAGAGGGTCGTGATCATCTCCGATCATTTCTTAATCTCGCGCGATGATGATCAAGCGAAACTTCCAATCCGAATATCTTCGCCAGAAAAGGAATGATCACGCGTGTCCATCGACGATCCGCTCGCTCAGAATACTTCATGTCTGTCGTAGTTTGTAATAATTGGAGTTTCCCATCCCTGGACGAGTAATAATATTTTCCTCTGTCACCGACTCCCGATGTCGTTCTCAGGGCAGCTAGCCGCCGTCGAGTGCGCGGGATCGCGGCAATGAGTCAAGGACTCGAGAATAGCATTGACCCAGACTTAATGTAGAAAACCAGCTGAGAACTTCGTCATGAGATTCCTCCACAGACGGAGGTCGCTCAGCCAAGCTCAAACTAATCTGTTTTCGTTGTTCTTTCGCAGGCAAGATGAGGGGCGAGGCCGGATTTGCGCCTGAGGCGGGTGGAGACAGCTCGTTGGGCAGTGTGTCTGCGATGGCTCCACTGGGTGCAGGTGGAGGGGTGGGCGGCGGTGTCAACAGGCTCCGGCCGCTGTCGATCGCCTCGACATCCTCGACATCGACAACCAGTTCGAGTCATCAGAAACATCCCTCTAACAGCTATCTAGCAAGCGCCGAAAGTCTTCAGGTGAGCATGCTTCGAGAATGTGCAGTGAAACGCTTGATTACCGTCTGTGGTCGTTTCTCTGCCGTCGGTACCGCGAAGCACTTCCAGACAGATGGCCAGCCCAGAAGAAAAACGAAAGTTCCAGCTGAAATTCGCGCGCTCCAACGATTTCAAAACGGTTGAAGAAATCCGTTGACGTCGTTTGACGTCTCACGAAAACGGTTGGGAAGCGGCTATCGCGGAGAGTCCTCCCGGGATCCCTTTCGAGTCAAGGAATGATGACTTCATTTGCGGAAAGGAGAATTTCCGATCCGGAGCCGCGGAGACCGAAAAATGACAGTCCGTAACGACGCCTCCCGTCTGAGTACGGCAAGAAATTTATTTCAACCGCAAGTATAGAAGATCTTTCTCAAAAAGGGATTGCCACTTCATTCCGCGAAAGGTTTCATGAGCTTTCGATGCCGTTGAATTATGTGGCGACTTCATAGACTCAGAATCCGTACCCGGGAATGTCGGACGATGAGGACTTCTCACCTGGAGGAGTCGTCCTCCGGGAGTGCCTCTCAGAAGATGTGGCAAAAATTTTGAGAACAGTGAGATGGGAAGATTTTCTCTCGAGTAGCGGAATAATTATAGATATTTACTCGTTCCAGGATGGCACGTTTTCACCGATTTCCGATGACGAAGGTGACGCGGGCGATCGTCTCCGATATACCGATAACGTTGCTCACGAAGTTCTCGAAACCGAACGAGCGTACGTCCACGACCTCGGAGTAGTCATACAGGTGAGTCTTGAGTCGATACACGGTTCGGCTTAGAGTATCGAGCTCGAACGCACGAGCGACGCGTCGATTCGCCGCCCTTCCATCTCCCCCGAGTCATCAAGATTCAGCGAAACTTCTCCAATGATGTCAATTGACAATATAGCGAGAACGGGAGAGCGATGGTAATAATAATATTACTCTACGAAGATGAAAAAATAGCCGCCATCTGTAGAAAGCCACCCGGCTCGAATGGGTTCATCGGCCGAACGGTCGCAGTATTTTGTTTAAGCATGGGGTCCCTCATGCTTTCAACAACGAGCGAGCCATCAACGCCATGGCCTTCCGCCTTTGCCTTCGACGGGACCGTCTACTAAAATAAAAGCTCGCACTCAAACATGCGAAGCATTCGATCAGATCTCAGATAGTGTTCGCCAGGAGAGCTTCGAACACGTCTGGGCTTTTCTTCGGGCTGGGGTCGATGAACACGATTCCTCCAGAGAGTCTTGAACTGGGAGCTTGTCCACTGAGCTCCCGTTGGCTCCCGAAATCTCAGCACTGAGCGCTTCCAGCGGGACTGAGCTGTCGCTTTGCGGAGGGCTTGCCTCCTGCCCCCTCTGCTTAGGGGTCCGGTCGGAGAGGGGCGAGAACGGCGGTGTGCCGGGTTCTCGTCATTCGTCCATCTATCGCTCCGCTACTACCTCTGACTTCGGTGCCGGAGCGCAGTCAAAATGTTTCCAGTCATCATGGAGCCCTGCGCCACTGTAACCTCGATTCAGAGGAGTCGATAGAGGGCATTTCTTCGTCTCGGAGGAGACCTTTCCGTAAGTCCATAAAATCGGACAGAGGGGGACTCGATTCGTCCATGTTCCGCGGCACGCTCGGGAAATTCGTAATATTGCGCACGGGCAGCCCTTCTGGAGGGACTCGTGACATTCCTTGGATGTACCGAAAATTTTGTGTTTTTTTTCCTCGTCCGACAGAAGAAAGCTGCGACTTCTGTCTGACATGGGAATGAAGCTTCGTAGATTCTATGATTATTCTAATTTGCGAGACAATGGACGACCCCTTAATCCTGAGATTCTCAAGGAATGAGCTCTGGAAAGACTAGAGACGTATCGTAGGCGTATCACAGATTGTTTTCGAAGAAAACCCTCCTTCTGAATGGCTGGTTCTATCCTTCTCCCGGGAGGGAAATGTCTTATCAGTACCTCCGGCGTTCTCAACGGCCCAGGAATTTCCCAGGGGTGTTTAATTAAGAAAATGACGACTTCACCAGGAGGACCCGCGCGCATTCAAGCTCAATGGTGCTAGCTTAGCGTTCATCCGAAGCTCCCGAGCAGTCGCTTCCCTCTGCCCAGCCGAAGATGGTCCGTCCGACAGTCCGGCGTCGAAGACATTTATCCACGACGAGTTTGTTTACTCGTTTTGCTGTCAGAATGTTCGACTGAATCACTCGGTCAGTGAGTTAGTCTCCGAGACTCAGCTTCTCTGCGTTTCCCTTCAATGTCAACCCTGACTGGCACGGTTGTGTCCTCGGAATTTCTCGAGAACCATGCCGATTTCTCTCTGTCTGGCAAGCTATCCTGTAGTGCGAAAGGAGCCTCGACCGGAGTTTCCCTGAGCTCGCCATCTCCCGTTGACTCCCCCGACGAGGTTTCAGCTAGCTCGAAGCGAAGCGAGAGCTATCTCCCATTTTTTATTCAGCCCACGTCATTCGATCGCATGTTGACGTAATGATCTGCGATTTCCCGCAACACGGTCAAAACCCGTAGTGACATATAGGCCATTCCACCGCTGCCGTTAGCGCCCTCGTGATTCCTCCGTTCACGAGATTGACAGCCACGACCTCTTGAGAGACCTCGAAATTCTTGAAGACGACGGTCAAGGTTGGTTTGGCTAAATTAATGAGGATAATAACGAGAATATCGTAAATTATGATCGAGACCATGGGCGAACAAAGCAACGAGGGCCCGCGACCTCGGAGAGACAGACGATGCCGGTCCGCGGTGGTCTCTACCAGAGAATGGGCTCACTATGAAAGGTCGATTTCAGCGTCGTCGACAACAACAACGACAACATCACGGCTGCCGTGTCAGGGCTGAGTTTCACTTCTAAGAGATGGGAGCCAGTACGGAATTTCTCCTTCCGCGGTGTCCCTCTTCTACCACACTGAAATGATGGCCACGATGAAGACCTACTGACCAGAGCGGCCTTCCTCCCACTTTCTGATTGAACGGGAGCGGGTGGATCGAGATCGGCGCGCGATAGAGTGACTTGAGAAACTGCGTCGTCGACGACCGAGTTGGAAGTGTCAGATTTGGGTCAGAAAAGTCGAAGCGCGAATCAGCCGGCGTACGGTGAAGCGCTCACGTACGTGAGCGACGCTGAGGGAGAAAATTCTTAATCGAGAGCGTAGCGCGTGATTGCGGCTGCTTAGGTACCCAGAAGAAATGAACTGGCGACGTTGTGCTCCGAAAGTGGAGGGAAACGACTGATCATGGAAGAACCGTGGGACGAGTACAAGGAAAAGAATTTACCTGTCATCCTTCGAGTGAAAACCTGGCGCTTCACGCTTCACGCCGTAGTCAGTAAGTAGCTCAACGCGCCGGCTGATGTTCACCCGTGTTCTTTATTCGCGGAATATTTACGAATTCGGACCAGAATGTTAATCGCCGATAAATACAATAAATCTTCCAGCACCGTAGGTTCCTTCAGTGCCATCACTTTCGGTATCGGACCGATAAAGGGAAACTTTCGGTGCGCGGTGGCGTTCACCTTGATCAGCACCTCGCAGCAGTTGCCAAGAGGAAAAATGGAGTCGAGTAGTCCCCTCCGAAGCGAACGTCTTGTAGAACATCGAGATGAATATTCCAAGAAATCTCGAGTGTATACATAAAATATGCCACGGCCAACGTAAGCCATTCATCGCTGAGTTTGGTTATTTGAGAGTCAGTAGGCGCGGCGCTACTTCCCGAGCTCATAGCAACGCGTTTTTGAACTCAAGGTCATTCGAGCTGACTAGATTCGACTAAGCTGCGCTTCGTCATTTTCACGTCCTCTACCGCTACCAGAATTACTACTGCAGATATCGTCCGAGGTTTTCTTCTGAGTAATCCCTCGCCGCCGCTTCCAGGCATTCCACAAGCATGCGAGCGATCGCTTGAAAAATAAACAATCGAGCGCAGGTTCGAGCTCGAGAAAATGTTTTCATCCGTGGAAGGTCTCCGTGACCCAGCCCTTGAAGGAAGCCGCTTCGGCGAGGATAGAAGAGCGTAGGATTTCCTAAACCGAATGGCTTTCCACAATTCCCCGATTCGGTCCAGTTAGATTCTGCGCCTTCACTACGGCCATTTCCCTCAATGAACGAGTGCCTTCGCCTTCCCAGGTTCACAGTCGTAGACAGAGAGTCACGATGCCGAGTGGCGACACTCGAACGCCAACTAGGTGAAGGTCGCCAGATTGATTTGTGAGATGTTGTTCTAGAGTCCACATAATTGCGGCGAACTTGAGCGACTGCGCATCGCAAAGCTGTTCTTCTCTTCCTCCGTCTTGTTTGTCGACACCTATTCGTTCATCGAGATGATGATGCAACGTTGGCGGACTCAACGTCGGCGTCGCCTGAGTTATCGAGCTCTCCCTACTCTCCGTACCATCATGCGAGCGATCTGCGAACGTCGACGGGTCGAGGCAACGGACGGAACGGAGGGACTTTCCGTCTCGGCCGACGGCGGGAGAACTCCCAGAATCCTTCGAACGCATTTCTGACGTTGCTGTCATAGAATTCTTCTCGTCGTTATTTCGCTTTGTGAAGGTGGAGCTGACGAGCCACGGAGCCGCGATTCCGCTCCACGGTGGTCCGCATGTCATAAGAAAGTCCCTTGTTGTCGCAGGTCGTGACTCTTCTGCTTCTTTTTGCATCTATATTTGCCTCCGCGATCTCGACGGAAGTCCGCGTCTTCGGCTTGCCAAACCAGCGCGAGAATCACCAGCGTTTCGATCCTGTATTCCGATAACTCGAAGATGCAGGGGTCTGCATCGCCGGCTTCGCGAGACGGACGCTAACTAGTCCGCCCCCAGAGCTCATGATTTCTGATAAATATCTTCGGGGAGAATCTTCCCTTCGACGATTTGAGAGCCGCAAACAGCGATACTAGCACGCACGCACTCACATCAATCGGCGGCGGCGGCGGCGCGAAACTTTTTCCAAACAGTGTCGCGGACCTTCTGACGCAACTGAAATCACGCGTACCATATCTTGTACTGCCCACGACGTTTATTCTGCTTGCGTTGTACACGCTGGGAAGAGTGGATCGTTAATAAACCATTCCCTGCCGGCTGTTTGATAAGATCGACTGCCTGCTTTGAATGACGTTCGCGAGCATCTTCAGATAATCGTATCGAACCAGCGATCACGACCATTACGTCTTATAAAAGTAGTTTCAACTGACAAAACGATCCCGATAAACATCAACATTTCCCCCATGACACTCTGCGTCGGGCAATTATTCACCCCGTCGGAGTGGACACAAGATCCAGCTGAACTGACCTAAACTATTTCTTCAAGGGTTACCAACGACCAATGCGAGAATGTGGAGTGACGGAGGGTTTCGTCAGCGAGGAAGATCTAGCAATACTCTTCGGCAACCTGGAGCAGATTCTCAAGCTTCATAGGTGAGTTCCCGGTCGTCTGTCCCTGTCACATAGCCAGTAGTTCAATCTAGAACTAGAGCCGCGGTCGCTTTTATCGAGGAAGCTTGATTCACTCCCACGCGAACACACAAACTCACAAACCACACACAATGCCTAACCCTAAATCATCATCGCTTCCGACCAGCGACTCTCCCGGCGACTCCACTCGTCGCCACAGCCAGCCCACTGTCACCCGGTTCTGAGTTCTGAATCGTAAAGTTTTCTACTTCTTTCAGCGCTTTCCTCGAACGACTTACGAGCGAGTGTTCTCGGAGATTACTGTCGCGTTCCGGCGAAACCGATTACCCCGGAAGCAACGCGGTCGCTATCGCCGAATGCTTTCTGGCACAATTCGGAGCGGATCAGGGCGTTCAGGTCTACGCGAGTTATTGCACGAACTATCCACGAAGTCTGCAAGTGAGTTTTCTCGCCATACTGACCCTCGAGGTCCAGTACGCCCAGACGCTCCTGATGAGTGATAGCGATGAAACGCTACATATCTCAGGGATATTGTTTTTAGTATTGAGACTAATCGAGTTCACGTCACTGCTGCAGGTGTTGAGTCGACTCGTGAAGCCTGAAACGCGATCATGTGCGTTGCTTTCAAAACTCCAATTGGGCTTGGGGCACCGGATGCAACTCGGTTCCTACCTCTTGAAACCTGTACAGAGAATACTGAAGGTGAGCGAAAACCAGGGCTGGATCACTGCTGGGAAAGCTCACATACGCGAGGGACTTTACAAACAGATGATCTCCGACATGAAACTATTGAAAGATGATTCGAGCGAAAGCGCGGGGGTCTCTGAGACCTGGCAGCACGACGTTCTTCTCGCTGATCTCTTGAGCCAATTAAGAGGTATTCGACTCCTTCCAATTCCAGTATCCCCTCCTTTTGGATGCTCTGCGACATTTCGAGAAAGATTATCCCGGCTGTGCGGGGCAGGACACCATAGAGCGAGCGTTGCGGACCATGCAGCAAATCGCGAATCGAATCAACGAAATCAAAAAAGTGAGCAAACGAAAGAAGAAACAAGATACATAGATCTCCCAACCCGGGATATTTCGACAATTTATCTTCGTGAGCGGTACCAATGCCATTCCTGGTCTCCTCTGATTTGCCAATGGAATCGAGACAGATGGCTCCACCGCAACTGATTCTAATAGGAATTCGTGTTTTCTTGTCTGCAGTTGGATGAAGATGCTGTGCGAGTTCAAGAAATCCAAAGCCTCCTACAGGGGTGGCCTGGAAACGATTTAACAACGTACGGGGGCCTCGTGGCCGAAGAGAAAGTCATGTGAGTGTGGCGGAAATTATACCGTCGACGAGAATTTTATGTAAAATCCTCTATACGCTCACGCTGCGGAAGCGACTTGTGCTCACCGATCGTGCCACGGTGATTTCAGGTGCTCGAAGAAGCATTTGATGCACATCTTCCTATTTGAGAAAATGCTCCTCATCACGAAACGCAAACGAAAATCCCCGAATCTGCTCTTCTACACAAACCACATCGCCACCAATGATCTGATGGTCAACGAAAGTTCTTGGATGGTCGTCGGGGACTGCTCCTTCCAGGTGAGGATATCCCCCCAGAGGCGATTTTGGCCGATCCTCACCTAAAAAAGCGTCCGGTGCCTACAACAAGGCCTATAAACACTCTAGATTTCTAGATGACACTATGCCGATTACTAATTCATCGTGCTCCACAGGTTCTCTCGAAAAGCAATCGACAAATTACATATGTTTTCGAGACGACGGGACGCGAACGGAAGAAACTCTGGTGCGATCGTCTGAATAAGATCATACTGGACTCCCTCGACATACCGCCGGAGCAGCGTTCGAAGATCCTTGAAAATCTCCGACGAGAGCGGAATCTCAACTACAACCTGAGCAAACGAGAGCACAATAATTCTTTGAAGGCGCACAAGAAATCCTCCCGTGGATTGGATTCGCTCAAGAAAGCGACGAATATTCTGCATCGTCGACGAGCATCCGTGGACAACAGCAGTCTGAGGCCCATGGCTCCGGTACCAAACGGCACCAGCGGGAGTCAGATGTCCGCGGGTTCGAGGGACGCTTCCAGCAACGCTTCACTCCGGACAAAGAACAACAACAACCACACGAGCAGCTCAGCAAGTTGTGGCCGATCGAGTTTGAAACTGAAGAGCCACTCAAAACACCACTCGTCGAAGGATCACGGCAAACTCCGACGGTGTATCAGTCAGATGGAATTGAGCCAAGCACATCAGCGGGGTAGACGACGAGACGCAAGCCTCTCGTCGTCGTCGTCGTCGACGACCTCCTCGACGCGTTACGTACCGCACAGATCGTCATCGCTGCCGCGGTGGATGAAGCTCAGCCCAGTCAAAAGTCAATCGAAAATACCTTGCGGCGGGGTCAGCGATGCGCCGCGAAGCCGTCAATGGAAACATCTCCTGTTCACGATGGGCAGCAGGCTCCGAACTTCGCTGTTGAGCACCGACAGTGGAGTCAGCAGCTCCTCTGCGACCGAGCAACGTCGACCGCCTCGATGGACTCGGCGCTCTTCTACACGAATTCGGACTCCGAGGACGACGAGGAACACATCGAGGAAGAAGATCTCGAATCGAACAACAGCTCGGGGTCCTTTTACGAGCGGAATTTCGAGATGTGTTGCCGAGACGACATATTCAGAGACTCGGCCATATTCTCGGAGGACCCAGAGATTTCCGCGGAGTTCCTGATGCGCGACTACGGGGATCAGGTGCTGGGCGGCACCACTGATCTGAAGCATCTCGTGCGACAATTGAACGAAGTTCACGAGAAGAGCGAAACGGACCTAGCCGATTGATGATAGTGACAAGCGCCACACGATCATTCGAAGAAATGGGATTCAACTCATCTCCATGAGACTTTCGGAATTCTGACTACCAGGCAACACAGTTTTGGCAACTCGAGAAATCTTAGTCGAACCTAAACCACTCAGTTGCGTGCCAAAAGTCACGGATATTGGACGCCCGCGACCCCTGAAACCGACCGTGCTTGCCGAGCCTGATCGTCGGAGGCTTTGTTCGGCGAGAAGCTGATTCGAGCACTCGATTGCCCGCGATTTGCCAGTTCAAATCGTTCCTGACTCACGAAATGAGGCAATCGAGTCAAACAGGCGGGCCCGCGAGTCCCGGTAGCTTGTCACATCGTAGTGAATGTGTATGGGAATCTTTGTACAGGGAGCCACTTTCCGCCAAGACGAATGTATCTATTGTACAGAAGTTCGACGCCAGCCGACTCAACGAAGCGACCGCGGAGGGCTCTTGAATACACGGGACCGCTCAACGAAGCCCAGCTCGATTGGATCGTTCTGTGTTCGTACGCACAGGAGAGCCCTGCCGTCGGGGATTTTGCTCCAGAGGGGCATTTCGTGTACTATTCGTATAGCGAAAATGCAAGCCGCGAGTGTACCACCCGGAACGGTTTAAGTATTCTGCCGCAATCAACCAAATGGATGGGAGTATAGTTTTCCGTCGAAATACAGTGTACTCTGATATATCAAAAGGAAGAGATGTTATATGAGGAACTCGACGGCGCGTCTCGCGGTTTCTATGCGATTGTTTCCGCTCGTGTCGAAGCCTCAGCGAGTGTCTTTCGCGACGCAGCTGAGTTGAACAGATTCGCGAATTTCGCTCAAGGCAATGGTCGTCTACGGAGGCAAGAATTGTGATCATTGTTCCTGTGTTCTTGAGGGTTCCTCCGCGAGAATTTTTCTTCCGAGCCGCTCTGAAAGTACTGCAAGTCACGCCGTCGAGGGGAGGGAAACTGGCCTGTTCTCAAATCTATTTATCCTGAAAGTTGGAAGGTCGCTTTGTCGCGGAGAGCATAACCCCAGAGACTATTGAACGGAATAAAAAGGAATATTTTCTGCCGAAAGAGAGAGAGTCGAAGTCTTGTTCTGTATAAAGTCAAAGTCCGGCGTGGAATGTCCCAAAACTGCGGAATTCAGGTAGTTAGGCAGAGCTGAGCAAGCTTTGGGCATAGGAACAAAGGTCATCGAGTGTCAGCTGGCGTGGGCCTCGGGCCTCTTCTCCTTCGTTGGTTTCCACGAATTCAAGTGTCAGCGAGACGGCTGATTCGGTGCTTCCATCTCCTTCCAGCAGCGACACGGCTCAAATACGATCTGGCCGATGAAGCGGGTGTGCCGGTTGATATCACGCTCTCCTTCGGGACTGTACGAGTCTGATATTCTTTCTGCTGAATCGAGGACATTCGTGCTTATACGAGTACCATCTCGTACACCACGAGCCGCAGTGGCGAACGAGTCGAATCTCAGATGAATGTTTCGGATGACCGTAGGACGAGTTATCATCCCTCCTCCGTGCTTGGTTGCTCGCCAACAAGCGCGGATAGGAAAACAGAAGACGAAAGGAAGAAGTTCAAAACGTAAACAGAACGAAGGCTGTCGCCCTCAATGGGAGTTGGCGCTGCGTAACGCAAAGTCAGCAGCATATTCGCGACATTTGAGATACTGGATCCGTCAAGCACTCAGGAGTCCCGCCCGCGCATTTTTGTGTGACTGTGCGAGATTGCGATTCACTGCGGGGAAATCGAAACCGCGCTCCTCTCACAAGCAGAAGCGCTGCGTCCTGCGTCTCACCAGATTTGAAATTCGCGCCATAGTGCTCGGCAGCCCAACGTGGCGGATTCGAAACCACTGCGGATCCTTTTGGGTCTTCGCTGTCCGTCGAGGTGTGTGTCGTATATTTTCGAGCCGGAATTATCCATGTAAATCCGGCTCTTTTCTTCGTAATACTGAGTTCTACGAGCTGTGAGATCGACTCGGTGCACGAATGAGCAAGGTTCCGCTGGCGAGGATCGATTGAGATGGGAAATAGCTTTTAATTCAGAGAAAGGCAATCGACCCTACATCCCGGCGCGTTCTCCACTTATAGTTCACATACCGTACCATTTTCCATCGACTACTCACTTGAATGAAATTGGTGACACTCGAAACCCCTTCCGGGCTTGTCTTGCGGTGGGAATGTGTAAGTGATCCTCATCAAAGGTACCGTGTTCCCCGTATTCTGGGCTATTGACAACGCTTCGCCGGATATTGGTTCTGAAGCACGTGGAAAGACGGACATCCGATTGAGCACGATTCGACGCGAGGATTCATATATCGTGCCGAGATAGCGAAAAGTCTTGACGGTCGTTTGGGATGCCTCCTCTGGAATCAAGAAGGTCCTCGTTTGCGAGTGCTCTCGGAAACTCTCCTGAGTGCCGCCATGTGCATTCGCAGAGAGAACTGCGGCGGGAGGGGGCTGTGCACCGAGGTGTTCTGATCTCACACTCGTAGATGTCAACATGATGACTATTCTCCAATAGTTCCTACATACAAAACAATGTGGTGATCTCAATCCAACCCTGAGAAAATTCCTCGCCGGAGAGCGTCTCCGAAAGGTTTGAGGACTCGCCTGACTCGTTCGCGATCAACTTACAGATGGCCGGCACTAAGAGGAAGACACCCGCCAAGACGTTGAAACGCAAGGATGTGAAGAACCCTCTAATAGCCAAGGGGGTCCGACAGCTGTCCAAAGCTAAGGTGAGTGGGTTTCTCCCTAGCTCTCGACAAGCTCTCCTTATCGAATAGCTACGACTCGAGACATCATGGCGAGCGGAAGCGGACGTTAACTTGAGACTCGCGACAGGTTATGAGATTGACCGGAGGATGGAAGTTCATCAAGGATCCCGTGGAGGCTGCGAAAGCCGCCATGAATGCGCCCGTCACGAAAACGAGCCCTAAAATGATCACCAAACCGATCGGTGGCCCGAAGAACGGCAAGGAGCGGAAGGTTCTCGCCAAGAAACCTGTGAGTGCATTCGTCATTACGAATTCGAACCCGACCGACTAGGAAATCCAAGCCTATTGGAGACTTTGTGATGATCCAACATGAGCTGACCACGCTAACCTTGATGAATCAGCATTTTTCTACACTTGTACTGTCTGAAACTCACATCATTGGATCTCTACGTTCCCTTATAAATTGATCCGTTCAATCAACCGTATCTCAATTGATCCGCAGCGCCGCTTCTACGCCACGGAAGACTCGCTGAAGCCCGCTAAGAAGTCTCGCAAGAGGGTCTACAGGGCGGCGAGAGCATCCATCACGCCAGGAACTGTCCTCATCCTGCTCACCGGAAGACATCGCGGAAGAGTAAGTTCGCGAGCTCCTTCAAGTGTAGCCCCCCTCGAAGAAAAGAAGGAACGATGCCATGTGCTCGTCCATGATGACTATCTCCAATAGTTCCTACATACAAAACAATGTGGTGATCTCAATCCAACCCTGATCGAAACGACTCCGCGTTCGTAGATGGCATAATAAGAATCGTTTGCCGGTGCTCAGTCCTCGTTTTTGGTTCCAGCGTGTCGTCTACCTCAAGCAATTGGAATCTGGACTCTTATTGGTGACCGGACCTTACAAGCTCAACTCATGCCCGTTGAGACGCATCCACCAGAGCTTCGTGATTGCGACGTCTACGAAAATCGACATCTCATCTGTCAAACTGCCGGAAATCAAGGAAGCTCTCTTCGTCAAGCCGAAAGTTCCCCGGAGTCGGGGCAACACTTCCAAGGGCGGAGATCTTTTCGAGCAGAAGAAGGCCGATTACACCCCCTCAGATGAGAGGAAGAAGCTCCAGAGCGATGTCGACAAACAGCTGCTCGCCGCCATCGCTAAGAGTGCCGATGGCGAAATCTTGAAGAACTACTTGAAAAAACCCTTCGGCCTCAACTCGAGGATGTTCCCCCATGCGCTGAAGTTCTAGGAGACTGGTTCCAGTTTTGAAATAAAAGAATTGGGAGCGCATCAAGTTTTCTTTATTTGTCAAAGATGGCTCGCGGATGCTGAATTTGTTCAGCCTATAACCCTGATGAATGACCCTGCGCTCCAAACCTGTACCGTATTCTATGGGTCACTTCAATCCCGAAGACCATGAACAGGCGGTACCTCAGACGACCGAACTTCCGGACGCGCGTGGCGATACTGAACCGGGGCTCATCCTGGAAGTTTTCAGATTATTTTGTCGGCCGTCTTATAATTCAGAAGCTCCCCTGAGGCAGTCCGGGGCAGGCCGTCGTCGACGAAAACATGTCGAGATATCTTGAAGAACGACAGGTGGGAAGGCAAATATTGACTATTATGGAACGGGGAATGTTTCCTCACGCGTTAACAGGTAATCACAGCTCCTGGCAACTTCTGGGATGGTCCCACTGCCTTCTTCTTGCCCGAAAACCCTGCAAGTGCCGGAGTCACATCGAACATGGAATGATCCATCAGAGATTCTGCGCGGCCAAAATGAGGTCGGAGCCGATTCCTCGCTCCTTAGAGGGACATTTTCCAAATCTGGGAACGCTCACTAAAAACTGAAAAGCAAAACGAATACAATTTCTCCAAAGCGCGATCATATATTTAGGTGCACAGCTCTGGTCGCCTTCGATCGGTCATGTGTGAGACTAGACATCGAAGGGGGCAGAAGAAGAATTCGCCGACTCATCAATGAATTTCAATCCGGTCAACTCACTCGGGTCAACAACTGGTGATTCTCACTCAGTCCCCGACCTATGAAAACGAAGAGTTACCTTGAAGCAGCGCTCAAAATATTGATGGTCGGTAGAGAAATCAAGCCTGCAGAATCACCGATGCTTGATCACTCGAATAATTACTATCATCGTCATTGATACGTGACCTGATAACTGATCATCAGAAAAATTAATGCTCGATGCTCCGGCTTGAATAGGAACTCTTTATTCATCATGAAGTAACAAACCAAGATTGAAGAATATTGATTCACGCCTCGAAGAGGGAATAATGAAACATATCTAAATATATATCTGTAATCTACATATAATATTATATAATAATAATCTCGGAACTCATCTATGACATATCTATTTACAAATATACAGCTCATCCCGTCATGATCCCTCTCATCTAGACCTGAAATAAATGCAGTTCATTAAATAGAGTAAGTGACGGAGGTAGCGTGTGCATGTCGCATCGGGGGACAGCTCAAGCGAACGGCGGAAGTTGATGAGAAACGTACCGTGAGCTCTGAGCGAAGTTTCCCGCGACTGCCATGGCGAAGGAACATTGAACGCGGCACCGATCATCGGCTAAGATCTCCGCAGGGCTGCTATCTCTGACCAGATCGAAGCAATTCCTGACTCGTATCGACGTGCATCTCGCCTGGAATTGGGAAATCCATTTAGGTATTTCGTGAGCGTCCAATATGGAGCAGCCGATTTCGAAACCAGAGAGCCGTGCCTTGAGAAATAACTCACCCCTTCGGCTGTACAGGTGCAGCTGTAGCACGGCGAGATATTCGCAGATTTACCCAGTCCAATGGATATTCCTTTTACGTCGCATACTGCCTTCTCGGCCCATCGAGAGAAGTCAAAAGCCTGGATCGTCGTGCATGCGACCCGGGGATTCCTGATGGTTGATAAGAAAAGAGAAATAGAATCATCATCGCGAGATCCTCGAGCTAAGACTCGTTCTGAGCATCTAAGGGTTTCCCACAGATTTCCGGTAAAGGAAGGCGTTAGCTTCGGCTCCACCTCATTATGAAGCATCGGACTCGATGGTGCCTCCCGGATTCGAGGGGACCATTTCAGTGACGGAACGCTCGCATATTCATCAGCGTATCATAATCAGCTCGTCGGCAGATTGTGTAAGAAATCCGAAACTTAGAAACTCCGGCTCTTGTTCAAGAGTCAGAGCGGCCCTCCAGAGTTTCTGTTCTGCTGCCCCGATTCTCCGGAGTCATCCAACATGAACCGAAGTTTCGGCAAGAGAGACTGCTGTCGGGGATCCAGGTCAAGATATCAGAGCTCAATGCAGTGCATTTCATGATTTCGCCCCTACCAAGTGCATGCCGTTACGCCGCTGTGGTATATCGGAGGAGTTACCCACATCTAATCGATCGAAGGGTAGTTTTAAAGGTCCATACTCACAGATAATCGTCCACTTGATCGAAAGCTTGTTTCTGAATCTCCTTGATATCGTCGCTGTTGTCGCAAATGATCCGCGACAAGGTCGTACGACGTATCGTGTCCAATTGCTCTGAAATACGGAATGGTGTTAATAGAGCACGGCATCTTGAATTCTCTAATTTTTCCCAGTGCCGCGAGGAATGATCTCCTACCTTCCGTGAAGCGGACAGCCGCATCATCGGTCTCGAAGAAGAATCGATCCCCCTCCTTGAGTCGTCGGAACTGCATGCCGATGATGCAGCTGAAAGTCGGTCCGACCACGGCACCGTACCCTGAAGTTTCTGCCAAGCCGCCCGTGAAGAGATCGATATCGTCGACATGACTGAAATTCGTAATGTAAGTCAGCCTTTCACCGAGTATGAAATTCAATTTCAAAATTGAACACGATTCCGGAGGTCGTAGACGCCGACCGAAGTTTGTATCACATACGCATATATCCGCTGGAGTCGTTTGCGGAGGGCTTCTGAGATCTCTGACAGGTCCGAGAAAGTGCGCGCTCGTTTCAGTCCACATCGCTCTCGGTATTCATTGTACCCTGAAAGTCCGTGATCTCGCGCTCTCTGGATATTCAGGGCGATTAGGTCCATCCCTGAGAAAGGCTTCCTCCGCTCTTCGAACAAATGATTTGTGACCTCCTCCGTGATCCCATTGTCGAAGTTTTGCATGGAGACCGACACAAGACCTCGGAGCATCTGATCAATGGCCCCAGCTGCGAAAATGAAATTCCTTCACTATTGGCGGAAATCTTCGACAGGAAAATACAATAAATTCCTATCGACATAGCCTCCCTCAATTACCTCTGTAGAGCATGTCGGAGTTGAAGAAGCTTCTCCGTAGCTGGACCGGCTCTTTGCGATCGTTGTATTCGCTGCCCAACAGTTTGAAGAACGGGGCGATCAGCGTATGCCCGAACCGGAATGCGGCCGTGCTGAATTCGTTGAAGACTGTCGGATCTACCTGCGGAGTTGAACTTTCGTCAGTATCGGAGTCGATCACTCGCCCAGCACCGACACAATCTCGGATGTGAAGTCTCGTACCTGAGGATCGTAATTCTTCGCGTAGCCGTTCGGAGACAGAGCCAAGTGGTGCTCCAGCATCGCAGATTTCCCGAGAATTCTCGGCAAGAATTCCCCGTACGTTATTTGCTGCATGATCGCGGATACGATTCGCCGTCCTGTGGATTGGAAGGTACTCCGGAGTTTTGAGAATTCTTACCAAACATAAAATCTTGAAAATTCACCATTCAGCCACGAATCACGAACCTTCTTGATAAAGCTTCTCGTCGTCCCAGTGGGGGTTGACTCCACTCAGGCCGTCGACGAATCTGTTATGAGCCCGAACGAAGAGGGTGTGCATTGTCGCTAAGCCCGGCTGTTCCGAGGCGCGGTTGTCCCCGGCCATGAAGCAGAGGCCAGACGGAGATCGACATTCCTTGTGGGTTGCGGTCTGCGGAAATATACATAGTAGTTACTGGCACGATCCGATGAGAAGCCGCTCCGAACCGACAGATCCGCATTTGACCTGGGAAAATACCGAAAGGGCTTACTTGCGGCAGAAGGGGTTTCCCGCCCGCGCTATTCTGCGTGACGTTCAGACGACCGCCCACAAATGCGCGCAGGCGCCGCATTTCACATAAGTTCGATCCGTACACATTTGACGCGTCGACGAAAGCGGTGACCTGCGAATTGAATCAAGAAACTTAACGTTCACCCATCTGATGGTGTAGGAGATTCTTTTAATCGCAATATCCCTCTGTCTCATGAGGACGCAGTCATGAGTCAGGATGAACTACGGACCTGATTCAGTTGCTGCCTCGGTCCCAGAGTGCGTTGTCCGGGAAGCGACCTGAAATCGGAGTATCAGCGTCATGCTTCGGGAATCATCGCGTCGAGGACGGGAAACTCCGGGGAAACTCAATAACACGGAACATAGCTGTCCGAGACGAATAACCAACCTGACAAAGCTGATGCAATTGTCAGCTCCATCCGCCTGCTTCGCGGGGAAATGCGGATCATTTGGCGGTATCGAAATCGGCCGACATTCGTGGTGCACAGTCAAAGCGGAATCACACCTTTTGCAGTCTAGAATGAGCAAAAATCTGTCTAATTGGTTCGCTCTCACTTCAGGCGACATGTGCACAGCAAAGTGAAGAGCATCGCGGTAGAACTTACTGATGTTGGACTTATCCGGATACTCGACCATCGGAGTCAAAGTGATGTCATGATCCAAAAACTGACCCCACTGCATTACGACAAGTGAGTATCGGCGATGAGCGTCGGCCACGTCATAGTGCATAGACGTTGACACTAAACGCGGAGCTGGGAGTGGATTCCCGCTCACACTGTGCGTCCGCAATTGGGAAACGCCTGGAAGTAAAACGGCTCATCGAATCCCCATATTTTTTGGTAGAGTCTTCTGTCATTCAAAAGTTGGCTCCAGCCGCGGCTTCTTTCCCGACGGGGCTCAAGTTTCCCCGAGAACGATAATGTGATGTCCTCCTCTTGCGATCAGTCCCTATTCCCCCCGGGTTCAAGAACCCTGAGCCATGTCCGCGAGAAATGAGCGTACAAGAGCTCGAAGAGCGAGCGAACGAAGATCGCCCTTGAGGATGACTGACTCTGATGCTCTAAGCTTTCCCTCTTCGAGAGCGGGGTACTTGAGCCCCAGCAGCAGAACGAACCTCTAACCTCCTTCCGGATTGGATAGAGTTACCATTGACCATGTGGGGCAGAGCCCTTTCTAGCTCCCTTGGAGGACTCGCGACTCGGGGAGTTGAACCCCTGGGATTGACTTGAGCCGTCTCAGGCATTATTCAAGAGATACTTACCATCTTCGTAGTTTGCGGGACCTAGGCGGGCGAATGGCGTCAAGGACTTGCCGAGTTCCGGCTTTTGGAGGTTATTGCACCATCCGGTGATCGTTCGATACCTGAATAGAGAGAGAACATTTCTGTCAGGCGGAACTTGGAATCGTCGTCGACGCTCGCGACCATGGAGTCCGCGTGGAATTCGAATTCGATGTCTTTCACGGGGGACAGCCCACTCACTTCGAAGTGTGGTCGCACGGAAGCATCTTCTCGTCACATTCCCCGGCAATCAATTGAGCTCTGATCTCTGTGGATATGTCTAGGTGCTGCATGGCAGCGACGATATCGTTGAGTGTGCTGTTGTACTCCTCGCCGTCCCGCTGGAAACTGATATTCAAAATCTTTAGATGAGGCGTGTGAAATACTTTTGGCCGGTCGGCCGCATCCATATAGAGCGACGTGGCATGCATTCCAGGGCACTTACATGGTTGACCGGAGACTTTTGAGAACAATGCCTTTGGAGGCAAGCTCGAAAAGTAAGGACTCGTCCGAAACTTTCAGAGCATCTTCAGTCGGTCTGAGGAGCGCTGATAAGACTGCCTGGAATTCGAGATTCGAGAATTCGAAGACGCTTTCATGGATGATGTTTGTTTTTTTCCGGGACGATGCTCCCGTAACAGAATGTTTTCCGGTAGAATGACAAGGAGCTACCGACCTGTGAAGTTGCGACATCGGAAGCACCTTGCTGCTGCCGAAGTTGTCGCTCGGTTCGACGCAGCTCCTCAAGTTCTTGACGGGCTCTCCGGAACTGGCTCCTCACGGTGTCTCCGCTTATCAAGTCGGCACCCGCTGCCGAACGCCACGGCTCCAAGCCGACCCGAGGCGTCATTTCACAACTCTGGTGGGCGTTCCTGTGTGATGTCAAGTGGTTAGAGCCGTGTTCCTGTCTGTCTCTTGTTTCCTTCACGAGCGACCGACTTTCAGTAGCTCCTATTATTATCGACGATTTCTCCAACAGGAAAATCCAACGGAATTCCAGAAACCAAAACGGAATTTCTCGGAGCGACAATTCGTTCCGAGATTCGCGACTTCGAATCACAACTTACAAGAAGAGGTCCGTCATGTGGATCAAACTAGGCTGGAAAATCTCAGCGTGATCGGCGTTATCGCAGAGCACACGGGTAAGCGAGGCTTTCCGGATTTGATCCAGTTGCTCTGGAATTTTCCAATAAGAAACCTGTCAGTCGGGGCGAACTGATTTTAGCCGTCACGATTCCATGCCGCAATCATGTTAGGGGTGACCGGGCTCACCTTTGGGAAATTTCGATGGCGGTAGGTCGTTTTCGTAGTAGAATCGATCTCCGTCTTTGATCTTCTGGAATTGCAGCGCGAGTAGGCAAGCGAAGGTCGGTCCGACGACGGCTCCCCCGAGCGTCTTCTCTGCGAGTCCTCCCACGAGCAAGTCGATGTCGTCGACGTTCCTAGCGGCCGAGCGATATGGTCAGAGCGAATTCGCGTAAGACATGATGAGCCAATGCTTTCGTTTCGATAATCGTAACTCACTCATATATCGAGAGAAGTTTCTCGGCTGCTTCTGGAGACATGACTTTCGCCAGATCTCCTGGCCGTCTGATATCCGGTTGCAGACCGCAGAATCGTCGGTACGTCGGATACGATGGCAGACCATGGTCGCGACCCCTCTGTATGAGTAGAGCCATCAAATCCGCTCCGGTCTGAGGAAGAAGAGCCCTTCTTGAGTCGAGTCGAGTTTCGGAATAAATGTTTCTTGCATTCTCTCTCATTCCATTCATGCAAATCCATGAATCGATGCGAAAAAACATGGAGCAATTCCTGTGACCTTAGTCTCGAACACATTTTTTACCTCCGATCGATTCGCAGCGGGATACGTGTCTGTTATGTCCGAGGACACGAACTCGTCACTATCCTGCGCCTGTTGGCTCGCCATGCCCATGAGAACTCCGTCCAAGTAGTGGTGAAGGACATCGGGCTCGTAAAATGTATCCTTCATTTGCATTTGACCGGTTTTGCGCATCGTATTCGAGTACAGGTCGAAGTGCGTAGGCATCATCGACATGACGAAATTGAAGACCGCAGTGGCCGCTTCATTCGTCGTTGACGGATCCATGTTGATGTTATATGTTGACGAGTAGCCCGACGTCTGCGGGCTTAGTCTGTAGCGCTCCATGAGTTCCTGGAGGGCAATGGGGGCCTTTGATTCACGAATTCCTACGGTGCCGGCTTGCCCGTGTCTCGACATAATTAATTTCTCCGGAAGGACGAAATAAATCGGACGACTGCTCTCAACCGACGAGATCGGCTCCCCGGCGGAATCACTCACCGATCCTATAAGCGAAGGCAGGACTTCCGAGAAAACTATGTGTTGCAGCTCAGCTATGACGATCCGTCGCGTCTCTTCGAATGTCGTGAGATCGCTCCAATGAGGATTCAGTAGGGACAGTTCCGAGGCAATTCTATTATGTTCTCGAAGCCATAGCGCATGCATCGCAGCCAAACCCGCATTCTCATTGGATCGCACGTCGCCTGCAGATCGGGAGAAACATTGATTGAACTTGCCATAGTCATAGTTGTCATCAAATCCAGGAGAGAGAACAAAAATTCGATCTATCCAAGATAACTCACCGGAAACAAAGCAGTGGCTGCCCTTGCAAACATCAGGTGCGTCTTGGACAGGTGGCATAGGTTTTCCCCGAGAGTGGGGAGATTCGCGGAGCTTGCCGTCTTTGAACGAGCGCAGACGCCTCGAAGCCGCTTCCGAGTTCCCGTATATAGACGATCCATCCAAAAATGAAGTGACCTGATTCATCTGGAAAAAAAGTTGTTCGGGGGTCATCGGAGCTCATGAACTATCGTATTCGAAAGCAAGCTGGCGAAAGCGTCAAGTGCGAAGCTTACCTGTTCTCGAGGACCCAGTGTGCATCCGGTTCTGACGGCGGGCGCACTCCTCGCGAATTCCAAGCAGGCTCGGCTCGAATACACTGGATCTCTGAATGGAACCCGGATCGGGAAGCACTCCGGATGGAAGTCGTCGATGGCCACGCTGCAGCATTTGAGCCGTTCCGAATCCGGCCCTGGAAGCGATCACCCTGCTTTTTGAATTTACTCGAGAACTCCCTGACGGGGAGCAGCGGCACTGCGTTCACGCATCCCGTCCGCTGCTCTCATTCGAGAGAACGATCATCCGTATACCGAAAAGGTCATCAGAATGAGCATTCATCATAGGCTCCGATTTTCGAAAGAGCCATGTAGGTAGATGTTGACGCGCGAGTCGAGTTTAGCTGTCGCATTTTTCTTACGTCCACCTTCGCATGCAAATCTTCAACAAACTAGCCTTGACGTTCTTTCTCTGACTGCAACGACTTGTGGGTGGTCGTGACGAACAGATGACCCAGAGAGGAGAAGGCAGTGATGTAAAGCGACAGGATTATGGACTGGCCACCATAAACCATCCCCTGGTGGCGTCACCGAATCTTTGAGAGACTAGCCTGAGATGATTTTCACATCTGCGCCCCTCAGGGGCATCGCCACATAATCATTCAATCATGATTTTGGCACAACCGAAACGGAGCGAAGTCTTGTCCGTTCCGATGATCCAGCATGTGACGGATTTGAAGAGAAATTTTACCTGTGTAAGGCGCTGTGTAGGAGATGTCGTTCGCCACAAACTCCGTCATGATGACCAGCATGACCGTCGCGTGGGGGTGTGGACGGTCGGAATCGCCGTGGATTTGTACGGACACGTTTCTTGCCGAAGGCAGTGCTTGACCTGTCACAGATTTCATGCGCGGCTCCGAGATCCCTGTGGTCGAAAATATGCGGTCTAAGAAATAATGTTTCCTTGTATGGCTAAAGAAATCGCCCCTCTGTCGGGCTAGGCTGTCCCGATGGGTTCCAAGACCTAGCCTCATGGAAGCCATCTTCCCGAGTGGAGCGGCCTGGCTTCCACCTGCAGTCTTTTAGATGCGCTGCGATGACCAAGGCCCACCCTGCATGAGCTTACGAAGTTCAATTTTCACCCGGCCAGAAAGTGACATCCTTGACGACGCGTCTAGCGCCACAAATGCAATCGCTTCCGGAGCTGACAGAAGCCGTGGGTGTACCGAACGGCATTGGATGGGTGGATGAAATCCGAAAGCGACGCTGGGTTGCGTATTTTCGGCATGAACAAAACCGATTCCATGTAATCGATGTGGGAGACACCGGGAAAGGCTCGTTACTCCAGCGGAATTCTCGCATATTTCGAACAATTAGCTTCAGTGGAACGGGAGAGGGCGGCACTGTGACGTATTTCTGCCATCACAACACAGCTTGTTCAGAATGAGGAATGAGCAAGACACAAAAAGTTTTCCGGTGGTGGAAGAACAATGACCAAGATCGGGCTTATGAGAGAGTTCCTCACTGCGTCAACAGAATTCCGTCAGAGGGGCCGAGAAATGCTACGACAAACTTCCTTGTGGGGACTCACGAAAACCTTTCGGTCGGAAAATCCGGAGGCGAGATTCGACATCTGAGCTCCCCGACCCAAGCGCTGAATTCTTATCAATAACACTTAATAGAGAGGTACACGAAACTCACCATCAGAGTAGTCAGGGGCGATGAAACGAGCGTATCTCGTACGAGCTTCACCCCAATGAGGATTTTGGACGTTGTTGCAATGACCGTTGAAAGACCGATACTTATGAGGAGGACAGGGTAGCTCAAACTTTATAGGACAGTCATTCTCGAGAAGACTTCCGCGTACGTCTACCAGCGGTAGTTCGTGAGCGATCGCCTGGGAGCTCAGTGCGTAACTTGGGGAAAGAAAGGAAATTATCTCCCTGATATGCTGCATGTCCCTACTCCGACTCAGAGCTAAAATCATCCGCGACGCTTCGTATGCGATCCTTACCTGGCAGCCAAGAGCCTTGTAGCTTCTTCAGACACGAGAGCCGTCCTGGAAATATTGTGTATAACCGGACCACCGCCTTGACTCGCTGCGAGAAGCCATTCTGGACTCTTCTTGGCCAGACTAGCCGATAGGAAGATTTTCTGCTCCTTATTGAGTCTCTCATCCCTTATCTGAGATGCTTCCTCCACAATGCGCGCAACCTCCTTCGCCGAGAACCGCGACGGTGGGAATCGAGGAGCCGGATCGCGGAGAGTCGGGAGAACTTCTGGGGCTTTTCGTCGGAAACTATTACCTGGGCTGAACTCGTGCCTGGGGATTGAGAATATTCTTTGCAATCTCCTGGTGCCGGTAGACTTGAGATGATCACGAGGAAGGAGTTCTCTGAAAAATATTTACCTTATCGTAGGGCTTGTCGGCCCATGGCGAGACCCGAGCCCGGTGTCGTGCCCGTGATCGTGCCCGTGATCGTGCCCGTGATCGTGCTCGTGATCGTGCCCATGGTCATGTCCGTGGTCATGTCCGTGTGCATGTCCATGCACAGGCACAGCTTTGTGCACAATATTAATTGAGAGGGAACGTTGTCCGTCGACGTCTCCAGGCAAGAATGAGACGCTCAAAATCATCGCCGGTAGCACGAGCAGAGGAAGCGTCGACATGACGGCGATGCCAAAATTTTTCTACACGGAAGAACACGAACAAATCAGGGGAGAATCATTTGAATTGCACCACAAGACCACGACGACCGAACGAAAGCTACTAGCGACAGTGTCTTCAGACTGGATCGCGTTGACAATACGTCCTTGTGGTGGGCGCGTAATCGTTGGAAAGTACCGTATGAAGAGGAAGGGATGCAGCCAGATCGCGTGGACGAGCAGAGCGCCGAGACAGAGGCTCCTTATGAAGATTTGATACGTTATGCGAAGAATAAATCATGATAGAGGCACTCTCAAATTCGAAAAGCCGCGAAGGAGAGGGTGGCAGAAGCCTCCGCTAAATTCCTCGCGCATTTCGGAATTCGAGGGGTCGCATCGAGGATTCGAGGTCCGCGAAGGGGTGAGCCCTCTGAACAGGAATCCTGAGCTTGGCGCCCCCCGAACCGAATGCTGAATCGTCCGCATGCACCGGCAGTGAGGAACTTTTCCTCATGGGGACTTCCCTGACGGAGAAGTGCGCGACGGGGAGCGTGACCGAGGGAGTGAATTCGCCTCGGAGATGTCTGAACAGAAAACGCTCCTGATGAATACGAGCCATTCTTATCACTCAACTTGTGCCTCAGTAGATTCCTATGGTCTTGAGTATATCGATCGAGCAACACCATGCAGGATAATGGGAAGCGGGGACAATGTGCGAGGGGACCTCTAGGGATGCGCTCGTCTGATGGAGCCGATGGTGGAATCGAGTACGCGAGAAAATGCACTACGGCTCCGAGTCCCTCGATTTTTTGATCAGCCCCGCTAAAGACTCTCACAGCGTCCATCCGGTGAAATATCAGCAGCACATCGCTCAGCGATTGTTTCTGGTTGCCTCGCTCGTTATGTGTCGGCAATCTGCTTCTGGTGAGACTTTCCCCCGCGAGAGCCGGGCAGCGCCCTTTAATATCACGGTATGCCTCGGGGAGACGCCCTCAGGCTGACTCGTCCGCGAGCAGAATCCTGAGCTGATGAGCGACGGGGTCCGTGAAACTAGTGGAATGTACGGTCTATAAATACAAAGAACACGCTGGAGGTTCGATCCGGCGACTACTGCCTCTTCATTTGAAGAATAAGAAAAGCGGTGATCGTTTTCTGGCACACGTCGTACACACGTTCGTACAGTTTCACATGGAACGTTACACCTTCCTAAAGCGTGTAAACTCATGCTCAGACCGTGAATACAATTCATTGCAGTCCCCTGTGGAAGAAAAGAATGCGGGTCGAGTCCAGTCAGGACTTCAATCACTCCGATGCGGCAACCTTGCCGGCCTACAACGAAAGAGCCTCAAAACGTGGTTGTGATGGCTCCATCATGTTCAATGAGCACGGATGTACTATAGATGCACGCAAATCTGTGGGTTTCCCATGATGGGGCATTGAAGAATGCAGTTCACCGCAACTGCTGAATTATTCCATTACAGGGGAGTCGGCGAGATAGACCCAGCGAGACCCCCGAAGATCAAAGCCTAGCGCGGTGTCGGATGCGGCTTCAGTCGATGAATAGTAGACACCTCTGATAATTTTCACGGCAGAGACCTGCGCACCCCGGTCTCCTATCGACCCCGCTTTGACGATCGGTCATCGAGTCCCATCCGGGAAATTTCGTCTCATTGATGGTAAACGTCTGACGCGATCGATTGAAGGTGCATTCCGAAATGAAGAATCCGCTTCTCATATCTCAGTCAGGCAAATTTTATTCTCTTCTCTGTCGTTCTCAATTTGGAGGTTCTCATTTTATCGACTGCCTCGAGGAAATGATTTTCATTCAAGATCACAGCTTTCGTGGGATCTGCTCTGAGCTGTTGGGTCAAAGCACTTATAGAGGCCGTTTTGACCAAAGATGCGAGCTCGGCACCAGAGAAAGCTTCGGTGAGATCTGCGATCGCTGCGAGACTGATCCCCTCTATTTTCGGTTTAGTGGAGTTTTTAGTCAAGGCGCGAAGTATGTCTTCTCTATCATCTCTGTTGGGTAGACCCACGTGAATGATGTGATCCAAGCGACCGGGTCGCAGCATCGCTTTATCGATTATATCGGGCCGATTCGTGGCGGCGAGAACGAATACCTGCTTGCGTGCCTCCAGCCCGTCCATTTCTGTGAGGAGTTGGTTTACGACTCGAGAAGTTGAGCCCCCGTCTCCGGATTCAGAGCGCCGCGGACAGAGTGCATCTAGCTCATCGAAAAATATCACGCATGGAGCCGAGGCCCTAGCTCTCTGGAATACCTGACGGATCGCTTTTTCACTCTCACCCACGTACATATTCAGGAGCTCTGGACCTTTCACAGATATGAAATTGATGCCACTTTCGTTGGCCACAGCTTTGGCGATCAGCGTCTTCCCGCACCCCGGAGGTCCATGCATCAAGATGCCGGTGGATGTGTTGAGACCCAGAGCTTCGTATCGTTCTCTATGCTTCACTGCCGACAGAACGTAAATGTTTAGAGTTTCTCGAATGTCTTTCATGGCACCGACGTCTTTCCAAGTCACGTCTGGGACCGTAGCGAAACCTTCTCGTTTAGCTGATGGTTGAACGAGTTGGATTGCATCCAAGAAATCCTGCTTGAAAATTTTAAGCTCGTTCAGTTCTTCTTGACTGAGATTCCAGTCCGACATGAGTGTCCTGATACTCTGTTCCAGAAGGGATCGTGGTCCCGCCCCGCCGTCTTCGAGCCTCGTCTCGATGGATTTGATCAGTCTTTTCACTGCGAGAGATGTCGCTTCCCGGGTGAGGTCTTGAAGATCCGCTCCAACGAACCCTGGTGTAAGGTGCGCGATGTGGTCGAAATCGAAATCGTTCTCGAGACGGAGCGATCTGCACAAAACTCGCAATATTGACGATCTCGAAGCTTCGGTGGGGATACCGAGCGAAACTTCGCGGTTGAATCGACCCGCTCGACGCAGAGCCGGATCGAGGCTATCGAGGCGATGTGTGGCTCCAACCAGCAGTACCTGCAATGAGATCCGCGGAATCCCAAACAAAATTCTTTCCGGGACGGACCCTCAGGATTTTCAAAGTGGAATGAAGTGGAGATGCCAGCGAAGATTCATACCTCGTTTTCAAGTTCCCGAGAGCTCAGGTCGTCGATGCAAGTCAGAAGCTGAGCAACAATCCTTTTCTCCATTTCTCTCTGCGCATTTTCTCTTTTTGGAGTCACGGCATCGATCTCATCAATGAAGAAAATGCACGGTGCGGCGTTCACAGCTTGTTCAAACAGTTCGCGGATCCGTTGCTCCGATTCCCCGGAAACCTAAGGAAGGATCATTCTGCCCGCTCAGTATCATCATCCATCCCATAATGTTTTCACAATTCGAACGACAGGTAGACAGGGTCGTACTCACTCCGGCCACTATTTCGGGCGCTGACACTTTCAGGAGGGGAAGCTTCAATTGTCCTGCGATCGCGGAGACTAACATCGTCTTCCCGCAGCCGGGAGGACCATGAATCAGGAAACCTCTCGGGGGCAATATGCCGAAATTGCTGTAGATTTCGGGATGCTTCAGGTGCGTCAGGAGATGCACAATTTCGACGAGCTCTTTCTCCATGCCTCCCATGTCAGCAAAGGTTATCTGTGGGGAAGGAGTCTATGAGCGAAAAAATTCCATCGACCTCACTCCGGCAGGGATTTCCCGCGAAATTCCCAGCTAATTGATGATTAATGAAACGTTGGAGCCTCCTGATACCCAAGGAGTCAATCATTACCGTAGGTGTCAACAATGGAACTTCTTTCTCCCGCTCTCTTTTTCTTTTCTTCACCAAGGCTTGCTCAATTTCTCCGTCAACATCTGCTTCTGCCTTCCTTTTATTGCTGGCTCCGCTCTTCTTGGAATCTCCCTCAGCATCCTTCGGTGCTGAGTACAAGTTTGTCAAGGCCTTGTTTGCATTGTTGTTCACTGGAAAGAGAAGGTTCCAATCTCGAGGACAGGGGGAACCCAATTGGGCAGAGCTGTCATCGCGAGGACCGGATGCCTACCGCTTCTATTCGCCTCCGCTAGCTCCTCGTCGACATCCAACACGCGGAAGTACTCCACCACGTGGGAGCGGAATATCGCTCTTTTCCGTCGATCGTATTCAGGAAACTTCCGACGCAGCACATCTGTTAGGTCATCAGCATCGAGAATCCGGCCGTTCGACTCAACGATGGCGTTCTTGCACCGTTTCATGAGGATCGGGTCGACTGGAAAGCAGAATATACTGTCATTCCACCGGCATGTGCGTGGGTAAAGCGGGTGGCATTCCTGCAGGAAATTCGGATTCGATGGCAGCGTTCTAATTTTAGAGCGGCGTACTCACTCCTTCTGAGTTCTCGGAACATGACGCGGTCTTTGGGCATCGTCTTAGAATTCCGGATTCCGAAGACTGAGACGTTCAGATTGAGACAAGGCAGTCCATCTCCGCGGAAATACTATAAACTCTGACTGAGATTCGTCATTCGTCATAAATCCCGAGCGCGATACATCGGAGAGAGTATTCGAATGTTATGGTTTTCGGCGCACGTGTTTTCATTGTTTATGTCTCTCACGGGCGGGAATTTCAAATGTTTTCGCGACGTCCATGGACGGAATGCGCAAGCTGGTTTTGAACGTTCGCCGCCGAAGATCGAGCCGATCGCTCGCGGGTTCGGGAAGCAGTGCTTCTCGAGTAGGGGAAAGGATGAAGAGCTCAGATCGAACACTGAGAGTCGTAGGCTCCAGCACCATGTCCAGTAGATTTCCTACGAGATGTGCGCTCATTGCATCTGTTGGTTTGGGTCCAGACTCCTCATGGCACTCCGACGTGAGGATTATATAGGAGGGAACCATATAATTCGGAGGAGGGGGGGCTCATCACCAAAGAACGAAGTTCGAGCTTGATACTGCCAGAAGGAGAACTTTGGCTTTCATTGAGGAACAGACGATTTATTGCATCGTGAATCATGCTCTGCTCGCGTTTCGAGATCTCCGCGCGGCTGTACCGGCGACCCGTCTGGTGAGATCGGTCGTCGACCTCTTGATAATAGTATAATAGTGTTGATCTAGAGCGGACGGTGCTTCGGTGTCCTCTCTGACGGCGGGAGATCTCTCCTTCATTTGAATCGGTGCCGGGAACCCGGACTTCATGACCATCTACATGACCATCTATCCCTTGATACATGATTCACTTCTGATTCCGTCACAGCTTCCGTTTGCATATGCATCGACGAATATTTATCAGACGAATTCTTCTCCGTCTCTGTGGCCTTCTAATGTAAGAGGCGGTGCTCCTGTCGTTGCTCCTATCTCGCTCTCGGAATCGCATTCCAGAAATACCTGCCATCATGCTGTCATGGATAGCATGCAGCGAGCCGAGTAAGTTCAGCGAGGTTGCTGCAGACGCCAAGGGAGATGAGGTTTCGCATGGGAGAGACTCGTCTCCGAAATCGCGGCGAGTCGGATGGTGCCTGGCGGATAAGCGGAAGAAAGTCATCGGGACTGTCTCCCGAAGCGCTTCGCGCCGAGCGGTCGTGATATCTTCTGCTGCTCCTTAACGCCGGATAGGGAAGCGGTGATCCGAGCGGGCACTGTAGAGCGCTTGCTCCCAGTTTCTCCTTTGATGAGAACAACACTCTTTCCGTTTCTTTCTCTCAACAAAGAAGCGCATTGCTCCGCATTTCTTGCCAGAAGCCCAGAAGATCCGCTACCAAGCATGTGATTGGCAAGGGACGACGGACGGCGTCGCTCTCATATCGTGTATCTCCGCTGTGCTCCCTTAGAGGCTTTCTTCTGTTTGTGCCTGTCTGGTCTTCGAACTCGGGAATTGAATTGTCGAGCCTCCGATGATAATTGCTCAGACGGATGGAGAAATCATGTTGCGATCATGATGCTGGTCTGTCTGTCCGGAGGAGCTCGGTAAGGAGGAATTTTCTTGCTGCATGAGAGTTACGTAATCGAATCGTATCCTAGGCGGAGATGGCGACGAGAACTCGGGTTGCGCCACGCTGAGCGAGTGTTCTCCTCCGGCTCAACTCGGAACTTTGTTTGATGGTCAAACTTTCGGGAGGTTTCAATTACCTACTTGAATAAAATTACTGGTTCAAGATACGAATCGGGGCATTCTGGAATGCCACGTTTCCCAAACATTCTGGGGTTAGCACTCTATACGCGAGAGTCGCCAAGGACCAAGTATGCTTTGGGCGGCCATCGATCGGGAGATTCAGGAAGACGGAGATAACGCACCGTCGGGGCGCAGGTTTCTCGCAAGCTCAGGCCACGAATGCCCACGAAATCACAAGAAGAATAAAACACGGGACGTGGACCTTGTATCGCCGTTCTGATCTGCGTCCGAGACGGTTTCCGTCTCGGTGATGAGTCGGCGCTCCCCGGGATATCGCAAGAGACAGATTCTCCTCGAGAGGGTTTTTTCCCAACTTGAGAGATCTCGGCAGGGGAACCCTCATCAGATAGCAATTCGTTTGTAACTCTGGAACCACGACGGTCCTGGCTTTGGACGCAAGCTCCGAGATGGAAAGCCAGTTAGGGATCATGCGGCAACGGAAGCATGGCTAAAGTCTCGCACTGGATATGACCCTGAAATCAGCTGCTCACAATTCTCCGGGCCAATGGGACGTTAGACGAAATGTTGATGGAGCCGAGCTCGCAGTCCCCGCATCAGAATGCACAGTGAAAGCACATAGGAGCGTTTTCCACCTGCTAAGCTCCGACTTCATCATTGGCCCGCGCTTCAGTGAGCGAGCGTTTCTACCTTAGACTTTTCTACCTCGAACCCGGTGCATAGCTGCTTTCATTGCTTGGCGAGGCCCCGCGCCTGGGCCTTTCTGATTCGAAACCTGCCAAGGTCCTCGTCAATCTTTTTCCGCTCATCGGGACAGCCGTAAGTTGCATGAAGAAGTGACGGCATTTCTCCTTCGGAACGAGGCATCCCGGTTTTATGGTGAGCACCTTGTAGTTTAGCGACCCGTAGTTCCAGCCGCTACGGTCCGGTACTGCCACCACGATTTTGTAGGGCAAGGCCAGCGCTCGCTTCCGAGAGAGTGGGGCGGCGCCAATACCGATGCGTCGCTTGAGCACCGTGACCATACCAGGTTCGAATATTGCGGAGGTCGTCTGAGAGGAATTTCAATAGATGAGTCCCTCCAAACCCTCTGATATGTGGATGTGTTTAAGCTCCGGCGCCGCGCACTCGTGCGGAATGAACGCGTCTCCAGGTACAGCTCAGATAGATTCCACCTGAGTTCCAGTACATACGCGAAGACCACGTAGATAATTGTTGGAATAATCCTCGCGTAAGCTCCCCGGAAATCTGCGTGACGGAGGCTCCGAGTTTGGACCTCTGGTTCCGGCCTGAGACGCGGAACCCAAATCGCAGCGCCACGATGCTGTAGTAATTCCATTCATTTCCAGCTCACCGGAGCGAACAGTTCGCGGCCGTGATGCCTGAGCTTCTGCTGCCATCGGCCGAGGTCCGCTGATGGCTTGGATGCCGCAATCGTGTGTGTACCTTCCTCGAACCTAATACCCTGCCTGAGATCTCGAAACGATCTCAACGATGGGCGTGTTGCTCTACGAGGCTATCGTCTGCGAAGATTTCTGAAGTGAGTAAGGACAAGCTGTAGGCAACGTGTTAGAGCGTACTAGAAGGAAATTCCGATTCGAGAATCCTTATGGTATTATCGAAGCTTCCTCGGAATTCACAGCATGTTGGAGCATGTTGGAGAGGAGCGAGTGCTCTGAGAGCCCAGAGTGCACGTCGAGCGGTCTCACTGAGAAACTGCCGTTCATAAAGAGACGCCCGGTAGGCGAGCCTCGGCAGCCAAGGTTGCAGTATTGTATAAGCTCGACATGGGATCAAGCGGCGTACCGACCGAGATTCGCGTCTTTCTTCCGTGAGGATCGCAGAGAGATTGGAGGAATGAATGGGGATGATTAATTGTCGTCTGAGCAGTCACGACTACTCTCACTACCGCAAACCTTCGGTATAAGGAATCATCACATGTGCATTGAGCTCGCGATCGTCTGAACATGCGCATGACTCATTAGCTAATCAGGCTGAATGGCGTTACCCGCTGCGGCTAATGCCCGACTACCCTTGCAATCATCGCTCTATGTTCTGGCCCGTAAGGTCTCCCATCACGGCACGACTCGTTGGTAGAGCTGCGAATTCGACTATGGAACATCGTCACATCGAGGAACTCTCAGACGAAGCGGAAACGCAGGAAGATAAAAAAATGGGGAACCTGTCAGTGAGTCTATCTGGGGTATCTATGAATAAAACTCCCTGACTGGCGGAAGATATGAAGTAGTGGAGGCAAACATCGAGGAGATTTGGCGTGGCGGGAATCCAGCATGACGGCGCCTAGGCGTCTATCGGTCCAGGACACATCCGCTGCATCGCCTCACAATGATTGGGAGCTCCAAGGGCCTAGATGTGGAATTGGTGCTTATTAGTGATAGAGGGCACCGTTTCCCGAAAGGAGTTTCCGTTTTTTCTGAGTCAGCTGGCACTCTCGTTCATTTGCGAGCTATATGAAGTATTTTTTTTCTCGATTAGTGCACCCATTTATCTTTCATGAACATTCCATGAATATTTCACGTCAATGTGCTATGTGGACGATTGCGACAGCCGATTCGGTATTACCCTGGCACAGTATGCCTTTCGAGATATTCGCCATGCAGCGACTTACGGCCGACTTTCGTTTACCTGGTCCCGAGCCTCATCCTTTGGCCGTAGTGCGCTCTTCTCGACCTCGAGCTGCTCGGAGAAGATAGCTGATGCTGCCTTATAGCTTTTGGAACTACTAGAATCAGTCTTCCGATCTGGTATGTCGAAGTACGTCCTGCAAGTTTGTTCTCCCCCCCCCCCCCGTAGAACTGGATGCTCATGATGGTCAGATCGTTCCAACAATGGCGATCGGGGAACCGGTTCCCAGTCGGAATGAGCATCTCGGGCAAACGTCAAGCTGAATGATATTGGAAATGAGTTGCAGTGAGCGAAACCAGGATGGCTATGGTCCAATATGCTGCTGTCAAGCTTTTTCGCTTCTGTTTCTCCTCGGGTTGCTCGGAGCGCAGCAATGGGGCTCTCCGGAACACTCGCCTCCTTCCCCTCGGTCGGCTCAGGGACCTTCGGGTTCTATTCCGCCAGGAGTCTTGACCTCTGGGACATAGTATTCTCTAACCGATTCAGCATTTCCGAATTGATCCGGATCCCTCCATACCTACACTCCAGCAAGAGGATGAGGAATTTTAGTCATCGGTTCCAAAATTCACCCACGGCAGACTCAGTACAATATTCTTTCCCCTTTTCAGTTCCCTCATCGAGCTGAGAGAGCAAGCCCGAGCCGCGATGGATTTCATCAAGCTCCGCTGGAAGAAAACTCACCTCGCGCTAGGGATTTGTCTCATTTTCGGCTTCATGCTGTTCTACAGCAGGGTATCTCAGGACCCGAGTCTCATAAGGAGAGCCGGGTTCGAGCAGAACAGCAATTCATCCTTGATCTCCGCTCCAGGGCTGCTCCTAAAAACTTCGACTTGTAATATCCCTGACTTTGATCCCTGGGACAGCCTGGTTTGGAAGATGTTTCTGAATCACAAAGTAAAACATTGTCCTAAAGCTTCCCCTTTCTTCATCGAGGCCGTGGTGAAGGGCTCTCACGCAGTGCCTCATTTATCTGAAGATGTACTATGGAAGTTCTACAGATTGAAGAAAGAGAATCTACGTTGTGTATATAAATCGGTTGTGAGGGAAGATACTGCGATTGTGCGAGACAACGAGTTCCGTCTCCAGGAGGGTAGAGACCTTGTATTCGATGAGCGAGTGGATTCTGAGTATCTATGGATAGAATGCTTTCGGTACGCATTCCGTGATACATTTTACGAGCAACCATTATTACTCGCTCATGCGAAGAACAAGAGCCGTAAGCCCGATGAGTCGATGCCGAACGTCTTAGTTCTGGGCCTTGATTCAGTGTCTAGATTGAATTTCCATAGGCTTATGCCTAAAACCAGAGACTTCCTCTTGAAGGAGCGACGAAACACTACAGTAGAACTCCTCGGATATAACAAGGTCGGTTTGAATTCTGGTCCGAATCAAATACCTTTACTGACGGGCAAACGATTCAGGCCGAAGGGGCTATATGAAACTGTGCGCAATGGTTACGTCGATAACATGACCGCCTACTTATGGCAAGATTATCAGCGAGCGGGGTATTCGACCTTATTTCTGGAGGAACAGTGGAACTACGGCTTGTTTGTTTGGCCTGAGCTCCATGGTTTTCTTCGTGTGCCCACCGATTACTGGCCCCGGCCCATAATGCAAGCGATCGATAGAAGCCCGTTGAAAGCAAAGCTCGGCTCAAACATTTGTATTGGACCGAGACTTGCGGCGGCAACCTACCTCGACTACCTGTCGGATCTTTTCCGCCTCTCGCCGTCCGAGCATTTATGGCTTTACGCCTGGTTCAGTGAGCTGTCGCACGATGACCTCAAGGGAGCTGAGAGAGCGGATGAGTCTTTCTACAATTTCTTCAAGGAGCTGGCGAGGGACGGGCACATGGATAACACAGTCATATTTTTCCTAGCTGATCATGGTTTCCGGTTTGGAAACCTACGCCATTTCCCTCTCGGTCGATACGAAGATCAATTACCTTTCGGGTTCGTTCTACTGCCCGAAAGACTCATGCGCACCGACTCCATCAGGACGAACCTCGACGCGAATAGCCAAAAGCTGGTCACTGTTTACGATCTGTATAAAACTATGCGGGATTTGGTGCTGCCCGAACCGAGCTCAACCGACAAAGTTGCATATAATATTTTTACCGAAGTGATACCCTCCGACCGCACATGCGCGGAAGCGCAGATTGATTTAGAGTATTGTTCCTGTTACCACACGATCACAAATGAGCCGCTGGATCCGGCGCTGAAGCTCAGACTGGGTAATGTTCTCGTATCGAAGTTGAATAATGAGCTAGATCGGAATAATGATACGAGATGCAGGCGATGGAAGTTGAAGTCTGTCGATGAGGCTTCGCTCCTCTTCGAGAAGTCGGTCCCACAGAACGCGTTCCGTGTGGCGGTGACAACAGACCCACCCGCGAATTTCGAAGCATGTGTCCATCAGCTCGAAGATGGTAGCTTATTGCTACAATCCAATCCGGACCGCACGGATTATTACAGCGAACATGCGCGTTGCGTCATGCCCTCACCATACGAGCGGTTCTGCTTTTGTAAGTAAGTTCCTCCGACCTGTATGAGGTGGTATTGAAACCCTCGCGGGCATGCGACGCGGTTAAAATCGGCTTTCCGGGGCACGACAAACCAGAGTACCATAAAAAGTGAAACCTCGGAAAAATAAAAATGATGTCGATTGGAGATAGAGATGCGTCCACTGGAAAATGATGCACAAGGTTATATGATCCCAGCGTTTCTTGTCTAGAATTTTGAATAAATATGCCGCGAAGCGATGAATCATCTGATCGGAGAATACTTGCAGTCTTCGTCTTCTAATTTCCAGCTCTCCGAGACTGGCAGAGAATACTCCAAGCCCGCGTGCGCTCGGAAATTCAAATTTTCACGGGGTTCATCCCATCCCTTGACTGGCCTTCCTCGTCACCCCATGACATACACTTGTAGAGTCACGCGCCAGCTCCCGGATGTCGAGGCAGTACACTTTTTATTGAATCGAATAAGGAGCCGCAATAGCTCCTTGAGCTCATATAATAACACATTCAAAACATTGACTCAATCGTTCGAAGAAAGTGGATCTCCGCTTGGAGTAAGGAGATTTCATCGGATTCGGAACTACTTCTTTCGTCCCTTGGATTCTGAAGACGGAATACTCCCCGAGATTCAGAGCTTCATCACTTCGCGCTCTTGGAATGAGAACAGAACCGAGACCCGGAGGTGGCCCAAGATAGTTCTTCTGCAGGAAGCTATTCGACATCTTCCCGCTGCCGAGTCCCTTGCCGGGGGCTCTTGGCTTGCGCTCAATTTTCACGCTGGAGACTCTGTTGGAAGTCAGACTTTCTATTCGGTCCTCGTCGATTCGATCTTCGCTATCTCCTTCAGCATCCTCGTTCGGAGCCATCTCTTCCGCCGATTCCTTCCGGTCCTTTGTGGTTTCCAGGGCACTCGGATTGCCTCTCGAGGGCGCTGATGATGAACACGAGATAGATTGGCGAACGTAGACAACTTCGTTGGCGGATATACAAGGATAGTTCCATTTTCTCCGCGAGTCGTCTGCTGGATCACCCCTCCAAGAACAACAGCTGGCTCCGATGCTCTTGATTCGAGGTATATTCGATATATTCGAACCGTTCAATACGTCCAGAGCAGAGTCAGACCGAGTAACTCCTTCTCCCAATCTCGAGTGGGACAATAAATTCATCAGGCATCCATCCCAACGCCGAGCCGAGGAGGACCTCAAACCGGCAATTGAGCTTAGAGGTCCGAGTAGCCCGACGTCAGTCAGAGCTATCTGATGACGAGATTGGCCGAATGACCTCACAATGAACGACAAGAAAAGCAAGTATGGATACCTTGTCTGCTTTAGTATGGATATCTCTGTCATTCACTACAATGTCACATTTTCGGTAGGCAATCTTTCCGGTAGAGGTGGGATTTCCCTTCATTCCGTTGAATTTACATTCTTATGATCTCTGTGTCTCGCCCGCAGAGGAAGAACTAAAAAAGTCGAGTTCCGGAGCAAGGACTCGCGTCATTTCTCGTGGGATATACTGCCACCCCTGTGGCATGCTTCTCAGTATGCCCATCAAATGCGCAGAGAAAATGACTGAGGCCGCGTATGGTCCTCATGCATACCCCCGAGATCGTCTCGATCCAGACACTTCAATCTGTCTGAGGGTAAGAATCATGACGCGTTTCCTCGAGGCTCTCGGCCTCCCGCATGACGACCGCGAAATTTCGGAGGAAGGAGCTTCGGAGTTCTCCCTGGAGTGCCCCACCGCACGATACTGCTTGTGACCCCTGTCTTTGAAGGCGAAATCTCAAATGCAGAGAAGCAGGCATATCATTCGAAAGTTTCTGACAGCGATGCTCCACAGCTCATCCCGGGAGAACCGTTCATGACTTCTCCTGCTAGTGTCGGCGAAACCTAGTTCCTGTTGCGACCGAATCTCACTCAGTGTGTTTCCGGGCGGGCAGCTCCATCCCTGAGTTAGATTCAGCGACTCTACCGCGCGGGTCTCCCTTCCTGACTAGTCAGCGGTAGACCAGGAGCCTCGACAGACCTCGGAGAGTTATCTTCGACGTGAATTCATTTTATCTTCTCAGCGAGCGGGAATTCCAGCCAGAAGCGACACCAAGGCCTACGTCAAGGGAGCCAGAAAACCCGTCCTTGACTCACCAATCAAGGATGTTCAATGGATGTGTGCGGCATAGGAACAATCTCACTCACTCAGATACGGACGCCTTCCCCGGCATTCCACACCCCTCAGCTACTGTTCGAGGATATCAACGTTCCAACGTCACCGAGAGTGGTACATGGCTCTCTGACGACAGAAACACCGATCCTGATGTCAGCTGGGATGACCATCCTTAGTCCCTTGGTTCGATAAGGAGGAACGCGGGGAGACGTGCTGTATGTATGATATATGTATGAGCCGAATCAAAATCCCACTTCTTCCCCTCTGGGCGCAGCATGATGGAGGCTGAAGAATATGTCGTCCCTGACAGTCAACCCGAGTCCAGCCCAGTTCATGCGTGGAACCCCTCCTCCGGGAAATCGTTCGAGTCGGATGAGGAGCAGAAAATACGCGCCGCGAAAAATGATGCTCCGGACCGGTGCCGCTCGAGATCGTCCCTGGAGTTGGAGCGCGAGATCAAGCATTGGGACGATTCCAATTTACTTGGTTTTCGGCGGTCAGATCTCTGCCAACAGATCCTATGGGAACAAAAGGAGGACATCTGGAAGGATAGTCCGGATATCCACCGATTCGGTCGACCCTAGCGACCGCGACAGTTATCACGATCCGTATCTCGTACTAGATCTCGGAGTACAGAGGATGCCATGCTCGCAGTATTTCGATTAACCATGCGCTCTGCCGCTTGAGGATCTGAAATCTGAGCCACCCGCTCATTTATGATGGGCGGGACCTTACCGGAGGCGTCATAGAGACTCCAGAACGTCGCTGACCCGAAGTTGAGAGCTCTAGAGTCTCGTGTCATGATTGAGCCCGCTTCGCGGAACAGAACTCGCTACATGGACATGTAGGTCAAATTGGAGCTTCTCTTCCCTAATATTGTGAGAAGCGTCGGTATGACGGCAATACGGAGTCGGGATCGGTGCAGCAGGATAGCGGTCAGCTTCGATTATGGAGGGTAAGTGATCAGACGCCGAGATACAACAGGCCGGAGCCTGGTGGAAGACTGATTTGCGGCGGTAAACTCTCTACGAGTCGGCAATCACCGTCCAGGTCGTCTTGAGGACGACGGCCAGAATATTTCGTTCCGATATGTTCCCTCAGGATACCATGTTTTCTTCGAAGTCTGAACCCTGGTATCGCGTCGCTCATCGGGTGGACTCGAGTGAACTGCTTGAGCAGGCTCGCTCTGTCGCTCTTCCTCCGCAAGCAGGAGAAATACAATGATCATGGTTGGAGATACCTCATTAGATGCATGAACGATGCAAGCACAGAGCTATTCCGCATCGGCGGGCGTAAAATACTCCGCCGTCGTTGGGACTCGGGTCGAATGCCGGTTCCGGATGCCGGTCGCCAAAATCGACTCAGTCAGTCAGACGCTGTGCGAGATATGTTTGCAATCGTTCCCAAATGATGCTTTTCTCGATCGGCCGCTGAATTCACCATCTCGAAGTCTAGGAGCACGGCACTGCGCGCGACCGCTCAACCATCACGAACCGGCTGGCGCTACTGTTTCTCTGTTTTCGCTAGGCAGATCAGGTATGTCCGCTGCCACAGAGATGAATCGAAGCGTCCGTAAACATGATAATTTTGTCTCGAATCGTTGGGTTTATGTATGTGTGTCTCCGATTTTATTCGACGTCAAAATCGTATTGAAATCTGTCGGCGTTTGAATCAATCAGGAGATGAAGTGCACGTTTCACATGGATTTATACACGGAGATTTTCATTTATCCTCCCAGTGCGAGTCTGGCCATTGTTCCGTCCTGGCTTTCGGCACGCAAATCTTATCGATATTACAATTCGAGAAGCGGTTTTTCGAGATGAACTCCCTCGCATCACAGAGAAAGTCGTCTTTTGGATATGAGCATTTCGGCAGCTTCACTGGTCTCTCGTTGATCAAGGTGAGGACTTTGAATGTGCCTGTGGGGGAGAAGAGGGGAGATTCGTAGGAGACGAGGAAGAATCTGGACCTCAGACCTTCCGCTCTGTGGGGCGGAGCGGTGCAGCCCCCGTGACCTCGGGAATCTGATTTGCGAGCCGCCTCATTTGTCCCTACCTTCACATTTGAATAGAACGAATCCTATGTTCGCGCTGTAGGGTGACATCTTAGCATCACGCCACTGTCTGTTCTGTACACGGTCCGTGCAGTAGTCACCTTTAATGACAAAGAGTCTCATGAGGGATCTCCCCGACTTTCCGATGGCAGAATCCGCATCGGTGTTCCGGAACGTCATTTGATTTCATTAGGCCCAGCGAAGCTTCATGTACATTGTGAGTGAACGAACCTGAAGTCAGAGGCTGTTCGTCCCTGAACAAGTCGAACGAGCCCAGCAGCTTCTTATAATCTCTTGAATGTGCCACGTAAATAACGGATTTGATGTGGGATTTTTCAGGCTCGTTCATGGCGGTCCTGGAATCGACGAAATCCGTAGTCCTCTCTCGTCATCCGTTGTGAATGGGGGGTTCGGAAAGACACTCGAGTCGGGAAGATGCTTCACAATACTGACGTGAAGAGTCCAGTGGCTTCGTTCACAATCGGGCACCCCATCTTCGGGTTGAGCGGCCTGCCGTATGAATCCTTGTAGAAATCGTAGATGTCATCGTCGTATTCTTGGACCATCATATCTTCTTTCGAGAACACGGCACACCAGGGTGACTCTCGGTCCGCTGTAAATGCGACCGCGCATTCCACAGCGATTTGACGCAGGTCGGCTATGGAGAAGAACTAGGGTCACTCGTTGACCTCGTTCGAGAAGGAGGAATCGGGGAAGGAAGCCGCAATTAGCCCGTCCTTAAGTCAGGAGGCGCGAGTTGAATTCGCGTGCGATGGTGTAGGCTCTTACAATAGGTCAGGTTTGTGTTTTCCAAGCCGAGACGACTCTTGACGTTCTGCGCGAAACGATCCGCGATTGGGCTTTTACGGAACGCTTCCGGCTCCGTGAACATCTCACGACTAGGCTTCGTGCGATTAGGCCAGACTTTGCGTTCACATGTTTTATGGAATGAAATGAGCTGCAATGGATATACGCAACGTGAGATGGTGAACAGAGGATATTCTTCTCTCCGGCATATGCATTCATATCAGGCACCATAGGACGTAATGCCGCCACACCCACCCTGACGTCCTTCTTAGGGTAGACGACGCTGTCCATCTCAGACGGATCGAAAATCCGTTCGATGAAGGCGTACAATGATTGGTTCGTCCGTATTCTATTTGAGATTCCGAATTTGAACTGTTCCTGAGCATACTTCGACGGCAGGAGCGTCGGGAACATCTTCTTGAATCTGTCAGCGATTTGATGGACGTCGGTCTCGCCTGCGAACCAGGGCTTGCGATGGTAGATCAGGGGGCTCACTGTCAAGGGACTGCCCAGCCATCATAACGACACGCGGGCAGGCTGGCAGTCTAAGTGGATGATGCACACTAGGCTGAAAATGGCTCCGAAGGATTCGACTAACCTTGTTTCATGGCCTCAGCCGCCTCCACGGTGCTATAGGTGGGCTTCCATTTTCTCAGCTCCTCGATATCTTGCTGACACAGTTTCACTTTGCCTGTTGGCGAAGGGTCGTTACGGTTGAGGAACCCGATTTTGTTCCGAATGACATAAAATCCAAGGACGCAGAATTTTCGGAGCACTCTTGACCTTTCGCAGCAGCCTCCATGGTCAGATCGCGTACACGGTATAGAATGCCCTGCATCTTCTCTACGTCGTCAGGGTCTGGATAGCGCGCGCTGTGTCGATTGAATAGGTACAACATGATGGGGGTGCAGCCTGGAAGGACACGTGAGGAACCTGTCTTTTTTTCCGAGGTCAGAGTGAAAGGATCGATCAGGCTCTGGAACCAATTTTCGAACTCACCCGGGTATTTGACCTGCTTCGCATCGCTCCCGCTGAGTCCAGTACAGATAGTGTAGTCGGTTTTTGGGCCATACCAACGGTAAGCAGACGCTTTGCTCGTGGCGTAACACGACTCAGACCCGTCGAATTCCGGATAGCACGACAGATCCTGTGTTTTATTGAAGTACAGAGCTACGGGAACGATGATAGCTATCGCAACAAGAACGGCCACCACACCGAAAATTATGGCGCGTCGCATGACGACGATTCGATCCTATAGTCGAGCACTTCAAGTTTCTCCACGTTGACTAGATCATCCGGGGACCCGCTACCCGGCAAGTGAGAACGTGGAATGGAGGCTACGTATTTAAGAGTGAGTTTATGAGCATGTGTGTGTGTATCTCCAGTGGAAAGACACTGCTCACAACAATGGAAGCCGCCAGACCAAAGTCAGGTTCATTACCCCGGACTTCCGTCTTCCCCGAGATCGACACGTCGGAAGGGGCTAATCGGCTTCATGGAAAGGGGAGGTGTGACTATGTGAAAGATTTCCGATCCGTCACTACGCGGCGCTGCTGATGATTTCATTCTTATATGGTCCACTGGATGATCCCTCTGGTGGACCGATGGGAATGACTTTCGATGATCTTGGACTTTGACTGTCATTCTTGACCTGTCATTCAGATCGTAAGGAATGCCCTCGCGACAAGCGACTGGTCGGTGGGCACCGCGCGTTCTAAAGTGGGCACTAAAATGAGGAATGGAATAACCTCCGCGACGAAACTTTCCGTCTTAGCAGAGGAGCGTCCGGGGCCCGCGCTCGTATGGCAATAAATTTTAATTTTGCCGATGATAGACCGGTAGACCTGAACGAGCCTCCGCTCGACACCCTCGAAAGAGAAGAAAGAGTCGAATGGTATCGATAGATCACATAGAACCGCTCCTTTTTATTACATCATCCTTTCACGAATATCTAACACATATTTCGAGTCATTTGTTCGACTTGATACCTTTCCGTGACCTCGCGTCACAGAGTCACATTGCGACCTCACACCGCGACGCATCTTACATTGGTCAAGTCAACTCAACCTTGAGATATATTCCCAAACGGAGGATCTCACTTCAATGAAATGCGCTTTGGCCTCTTGATATATCGTTCATTGGTCATTCAACAACTTTCTGGAACACAACGGGTCTCAACTGCGTTTCCGCGACGCAACGCCCTCTCAAGAAGGTCTCCTCTCGGGGGAAGGGGGTCGAAGCCGTTGCTGTTGGCTTCGCGCCTCATACCGCGAAGGACCTCCGCAAGCGGCCGCACTGGTATGTGATGCCACGGTCAAATACCGGGAATCGGTCGGCCTGAGCTATCGAGTCCGGTGGTCGCTCGCCGGGAGAATGTCAGCCGCCCGAGCCGAACGGCAGACTTGCTTACCAGACAATGTCGATGTGGCAATACGAGTCTGCACTCGAGTGGACCGCTTCGATTACTCGGCCGCCCGCCGCCTCTCTACGAGGAATGGATAAATCTGAACGGTAAAGCTGTCAGGGATCTTCTTCGGGAGCGACTTCAGCCGAGTCAGCAACAGACTCGAATACTCGTAGGTATGTATAACCGATTGAGGGAATGCACATGCATGACTTTCCGTCTTTTGGAATCGGGAAATCGCCATCTCCCCTGGGGGGCTTGACCTTCGAGGCATAGGGAGAGGGTTGCGAACGAGAAATGGTTGAGAACCGCTGCGCTACAAGATCGGCCGTTTAATTCGATCGAGATCAGAAGTTTTGACTTCGACGGATTACTGGCGCCGCTCAGGTCGATTTCGCTGAGCGATTCCAGCAATTGCTTCCTTTAGTATCCGTCGCGTCTTCCGCTTCCTTTCGTGCTCTAAGTCTGTCTCCACTGATAGATAACACGTGATATGCCCGGCGCTACTCGACGAGAGGCAAAAACCATGCGACAGTTCCTTTGCATATTGAGTGAGGGGAGAAATTCCTCTCGCAGGTATCGTGATTTACTTTACAATGATCTCTTGCCCTCAGTGTGCTAGGTGACGCTTCGCGAGTTATTCTTTAGACTTTATATTATAACCATCGGGGACACGCGACAGAACGATAAAGAACAATAGCCTGTGTGGTCCGCAATGAGACACACGGGGCTGGATCCATGCTCTCCTCGAGTACCTCAGAGCGGTCACATGAGTTTGCAATATTTACAGAACCTAGATACTCGGTCAATACTCCGTGTATTATATGTATTTGTGTAATTGATCATTCCATGTTCCTATAGTCTTCGACGGGCTTCTCACGCCATAAAAAGTCTGTGACTGCGACGGTTTCGAGATCATGGAAAAATCTCGAAGAATCATCTCGACCATCATTGTTTCGATCGACTTTTCGCATCATATTGATAAATAGTCCGGAGCATCCTCTTCTAAGCGAAGCTATGGACCTCGGTGATTTCATTGTGACCCTATAGGTCTCCTTCGAACGAGCCTAGCGATTCGTGACAGTGAGTGGTGTGTGTCTCTCTCTCTGAAGTTTGCCTCCTCATGAAGGATCCTGCGGCACAGAGACTTTAAAGTCACAGTCAAGAAGTCAACATGAAATACTCCATAACAATACAAGTACAACTCGTCGTCAGGCTCGACGACTACCAGCGCTACGATGGCTGCTCCACGGTCTCTAGTGATCCGTCCTCGTGAGATTCTGCTTCACCGGCGCGGAACAAGAATCTCTGAGGAACATCGAGACTCCGAGCTGCTTAATTTGTACAAAGTTCAGGCGACCTTGATAAGACATAGTCTTCACTTTCCATGATTTCTCCCTCTCGTCAGCATGAGGTGTCTTTAATGCATACATAATTACAGTGCATCCACTGGTCATTATTCATATTCGTGTCGCTATGGTTTGATCCGCCTTGCGGCCAGTGTGAATAAGATGATACGACATACAATCTCACTTAAAGGATAGGCTGGTATTCCGAAGATTGGGTCCTAGCTGAATTTCCGGCCTTGTTCTCTCTGGAGGAGCGAAAAGATAGCAAACTCACAGATCTCGCAGCATTCTCGTCCTCCCTTCGACGCGTTCTAGAGAGAGGAGAGTCAGCTCGTCTCTCCTTCAGAACGCCAAGACCCCGAGCGACTCGAGTCTTGATGAATTTACCATACTCGAAGCAGGGGAATCCAATGGGTTCATGTTTTCAGTCTGAATCCAGTCGTATCGAGGATTCGGGAGGTTCTCCCCGATCGCCATCGAGGCCCTTGTGCATGAGCTAGTACCGGACAATAGATTGCACGGGTCTGCGACGGCGATCTCCCCTTAGTGTCTGCTACTCCCGGAATTCGCTGAAGATATCATTATTCGGATTCCTCCGGCGGACGGCCGGATTTGGAGCAGCAGATTCGACGCCTTCGAGGCGGGGCTTCTCAATGCAGAGCGTTTCGGAAGATTTCTTCGAGGCGCCGAGTTCCACGGAGAGTCGGTCTAACAAATAGACCACGACGGGAACACCCATGCTCGCCCAGGTTCCCCACGCAACTTCGGACCGCTGCTCTGATTGGGTAATACATCGCTCTCGACGCCTCGATATTAATATCGCGTCCGGAGCGACATTTATAGGTATCGATGGTGCCATCTAGCGGCAGTAGAAAACGATAGCTCAGCTCTTCCGTCGACCATAAAAATCCTCTTTCGAACAACCCGGAGGTGGGCCGACCGGCACAAAAGCGATTATTCTTCTGCCATCGGGGCGTGATAACCATCACAGTCCGATCACGAGGGTAGGACAAATGATTCTCAGTCAGCGACACCGTGTTCATAAAATGCATGTAGCTCCAACTCCGCTCGAACCATTCTCGCGGCCCTGCACCGAATTTCAAGATTGAGTCGAGAGAAGACTATGCTAGGGACCCAATTCTTCACTGTGGTCAAAATTTCCCTGGACAAACTGGAAAACAGAAGTCGCGGTGTAGTCCCCCCGCCGACAGCTCGTCCTTCTCACCGAAAATTTTCTCCATCGATCCCTGTAATGACTCTGGGGGCTCTTGTCGGTCGCTGCTCTCTGCCGCCCGGGCCACCGGTGCTGACGGCACATGTCCTAGCAAACCTCATGCCGATGGTGCTGCCCACCAACATGCGAACGGACGGACGGACGGACAGATGGGCTGGTAATCATACGGTAAGACGACTAAACCAACTATTCAGCCAGCTGACCGACCGAAGAATCGACCGCCCGACCAGCCAGCCAAGCATTCGTTGCATCCCGTCGAGGGGTAGACACGATAATATTCTATCGTGCACCGTGACTTCGTTGCCGTCGCATCAGACACGCGTTTGTGTCCGTTGTTTGTGTAGTGGCGGTCTGAGCAACGACCGTCAGCATCGGGAGCAGCGGTAGCAGACTGTACAAGCAGAGAAACGCGACATATTTGTGGCATGTCGTTCGCAATAACGGGTTCACATCGAGGCCAACAGTTATGATCGCCTGTGACTGACGACACAGGCGGTGAACCCTTTCGACCAAGCGACCCACTGGTTCTCGCCAGGATCTGTTACATCGGGCCGACGAGCATCATGAAATGCCCACATCTGGTTGAATGCTTCGGTGCATTTCTCTTAGGTTATTTGCTTCCTCATTTAAGTCAGTGAACGAGAGCGCGGACTCGACACCTCGCCGCCGTTTCGACTCAATGATGCCTGGCTTGATTTTCGTACAATATTCCCGCATTCCCATTCGGAATATCGGGGGGAGCCGCTCGCATCTCCTCTTTAGGGTCAGACCTGGTCAGGCATCGTCTTCCCAGGCCCTTGAACGAGAGTTATCATTCGCCTCTCGTGAGCGTCTCGTCTCCTTCTTCTGTGGCTCTCCCCTTGCTACTCTTGATAAATGGATGATTTGATTCATTTCGACGTCGTCTGAAGGATGGAGGAATAAATTTTCAAAAACAGGTTTCCGTCCTGTTTTTCTCAGAAGATTTATCGTCGTCGGGCAATAGATTTCGAATGAGCGAGAAACGACGGCCTCTCGCGAGAATCGGCGCGAGTTTGCCGGATTCCAGTTCACTGATTTAAGTCGACCTGCGCGGTGACTGTTGTCCAGAAATGCTGACGCAATCTGATGGCGCGGTCGAAGGTCTGCGGAGAAAAGTCGTTAAATGTATTATCCTTAAATGTCTCCGTCGGAGCCTGCGATCAATACCTAGGAGGGTACCGACTATCCTTGCACAGTAGACCGAGGAACCCGACGCTCCATACACACCTGTGTCTAAATACCGTGCTTTGCAGTGTGCGTTTCCAGTGATCGACGGTGTCCTGGAGACGACCCAGCCACAGCAACTGCAAGCAAACGTTGCAATCAGTGTCCCTGAAACTTTTATGGTGGCAATGCTCTTTGCCCAGATCGACACTCCGCGTGGCCTTATCCTCGCACAGGGAATGCCTCGATCTCTCGGGCTCGTCGTAAATGTCGCTCGGAGAGGACATAGCAAAGCCTCATCCTCGATACCGCAGACGGCGCTAAGTTGGGAATTCCATGCAAAGCCACCGGGTCCTGGGTTTGGTTCCGGCGGAGAATTTACCTTAGAACTCTCGTTCTGTGTCTGGAACGTGTGTACATTAACAACTTGTTGAAAGCGATTCAGACACACGAAAACGAAGGCGTGACGGAGGTTGTTCGCTGTAAGAGGGGACAAGGCCCGGTAAAAAGTCTATTCATCTGCATATTCACCTAGTATGTATCCATCCACTAGCCCGGAGCGTTGATAACGCGGTTTTTCGGCTTGCGCATGCAATTACTCCCTTGCAAAGCTCCTTACTGAGAAATAATTATGAGCATGTATTCGCCGCACCGCATTAGGCGAATGGACCAGCTCCAGAATTGAGCCTGCCCGGAGACTCTTGATCCGGGGAAATTCGTCACTATCACGGGGAGAGTCATGAGCATTGTGAAGCATGAACGCGAACGGAGCGAGAATGCCCGTTTTCGAGGTCGTTCGACCCCGCGTGCTTATTAATGGACAGACATGCCGTTTTTTGCTCCCCTCAGAGTCATAATTAGGACTGTATCAGCAATCCCATCTGTGGTAGTCATTAATGGCTCTCGTACCATAGGGATTCCGCATTTTGACCTCTTTGAATGAGTTATCGGAGTCTCTACGTGAGAGCGCACTCCCACTGAGGCTGAACGTGTATCCGGATCGAGCAGCCCGAAGAGCGGATGACATTGCCGGTATTCATGATGCGATGGGAGGATCGATCCTATACTCAGCAGGACCGCAGCTCAACACGCAGAAGGGGTGATAAAAGTTCAGATTGCTCACCGGTAGCGTCTTGCGTTGAGACATCGTGGATGCAAACTCTGTCGAGGGACAGCGGTTGTTTGTAGACGATATATTTGCTCCCGGTGATCACTGTGCCAGTCCCCGTTGATGTGCCCTCCTGCATATCGATCCCCGATCCTGTCGTTGGCGGTGATCCGCACGTAACCCAGTTTTCAGTAATCGTTGATTTCTGCGAGGACGAACAGGAATGGGTCCCCATTAGTGTTATATGGATTCCCTATAGTCGTCCCTGATGACGTTCGGTGCGAGACAACGCGGGAGCCATAAACTCAGCTGTTAAAAGGTTCCGACAGACACGTACTTTTTTATTGAGCGGACGCTTTCGTCTAGTTATAAGAATCATGTCGTCGAAGAGAATCAAGTAACATTCGGAAGGTCGACCACTCTCTGCAAGAAGTGAGCCATAAGATGCGATCAGAGCCGAAACTCTCCCCGAGCGTATTCCGAGCAAAGCGATGCTCTCGGATACATGTTTTCTGAACACTCACCCATCAGTGTGAGTACTCCCTCGAGTACTATCTGTCTTTTAGGACTCACAATGAGTTTCTCACACGGCTGTCTGCTCAGAGGAGTTTTCAGAAACTGTGGAAGCAGCACGACTAGTAAGGACCCAGACAGCGACATAATCTATCCGAATTAGGCCTTTGACGATTTGGCGACGCACTCACCTCGGGCACGAATGCCTTTGGGTCGAGCTCAGTCACGGATGGCCAGACGATGTTCCTCTGGATTTCCAGGAGTCGCTCGAAGTTCTTCAGCCATTTCATTTTATCGTCGAGCTCACCTGCAACGAGAGCGGCTTTACGAAACTGGCTCCGTTCTCGGAAATATCTCCCGACACCGAGGAACCGTCCAGCGCCTTGATAGTCCGAGTTTGCGTAATTTCGGGGGATAAGTGAGCGTGTTGCATGGCTGCCGGCGGCGGGCCCGCCCGGGAATTGTTTAGCACAAATTATTCTAGAATTCGGTTTCCTCCGACGGTCCATCAGTCCGCTCCTCGTGGAACGGTCGGAGAGCTCATAATCCTGTAATGGAGTCGTTCCATTGCACGGCGGCGGTACTCACGGAGAGAGGCTTCTTCGGCTTCCAATATAGACTCTATCGCAGCTTTCTCCTGACTCTCGTCGCTCCTCGAGAGGATCTTCCGCAGTACGAGCGGGATACGCATAACGTGTTGTACGGGAGAGACCAAAAGATCCGGCAGTTGGAGTTTCTTACAGCGCGGGTCCTTATAACACCACTGCGAGAAGAGGCGAAGAAGCCGTTGGATAGGAGTCTCGAGATCCCATGGACGGGGAGACGCAGAATTTGGCCAAACACCCCGATATCTTACCTTTTCGAACTCGACGAATTCGATCTGTCGCCGTAGAGTCTCGAGATAATTGAGAGCATTGATATAATTCAGAGTGTAACGATGGTACGCCTGTCTCATGGAGGTGATTTTGCAACTTTTTGTGAACAGCTTCAGTAGAAGATCACTTGTGGACATGCTATCGGAACTCAGCAGTTGGATGAATTCTTTGCAGAATGCGTACGTGACGCAACAGAGTTCGTCCAGGTTGCCGAACAGAACCTCGGGCTCCGCAAACATCGCGAAGCCTTCAACTTGGATTTTTTTCAGTGGCTCCATGAAAACCTGCAGTCCAGAGGGTAGCGTTAATTATTCGCCCGGGGCCACCTAGCCTTGATTAGTTTTCCTGGAAGCGCGACCCATATATTTCCTCAAATATCCCGGGAATCGGCCAAAATCGCTCTCAATTCGCGCCTTTCCTGCTCGAAAGTATCATGTCTGGGGAGATGGAATCAGAAAGAATTGAAGTTGACGCTTAGCTCTTCTGAGACATCCCGATACGAGGAGGATTCAAGCGCGGAACGCGCGGCTGAATATGTGGCGTGCGAACCCGGGGGAAGGGATAAGTACAGCGAGCGAGCTCTAGCTTGACAAGGGTTCCGCCTGCTTAACGGCAAATCTCCTCCGTCTGCGCGGGTGTTCGCGTTTGTGTATGCGTGAGAATGCCTCCATGTCTGCGAAACGGCCCCGTCGGCATGCGTTAGCGATGGTGATTGCGCCCCGAAAGGCAGAATACCCTAATTACCCTCATGAGTCTCGGGAGCGTAGTGACTGGAAACGCCCATGTGATACTTCGCGTGATCAAACAGAACACCCTGAGCCCGTTCTGCTAAGCTAAGCACGTGAGTTATGCTAAAACTGCAAAATTAGCCGCTGCGCTTCGTCTCGACGTCTACGTACGGGATGATCCAATTATACTTCTTGTTCCGACATCCAGGAAAACTCGTTCGCCCGGAACCAAGCTCAATTTTTCTTTTAAGAAGAACGTCCAGCGAGCTACAGAGTCTAAAGGAAATTCCGATCAATGCGTCAAAGGATTCTGGACCGGCTGAGGCGTCACTCACATTTCTCAAGACCATCAGATGATCGTAAAGGAACATGCACTCGGTTTGGAAGAGATCCCAGATTGCTTCTTTCTTCCGAGCGCCATCCATGCTATAAATTCCTCGTGCAACGGTGACGGTATCCGGAATCGTTCTTGGAGAGGAGGGTTCCGACGTGTCTCCCGTTTCTGCCGTACTGGGGCTTGTTTGAAGAGCAACGAAGTCGCTCCACTGAAGGCCCTGAGGAGGAAAAGATGAGATCTTCAAATTCCGATGATCGGATCGCCGTTGGAACGTCCACGTACACATGAGAACTTATTCTCGCCGTGTCCATGGTTCCGCGTGCAATTCCCGCAAGCGAATCGAGCGGGAGTCGGTAGCCTCCCTTGTGTGGAACGAAAGCTTGAGCTAAAATCATGATCTCAATAGAACCCATGTAGCGAAACTGGCCGAAGGGACGGTGGTAGAGGGGGGGGTCAAGCGGGCGCTTGAACCTGGACTCAGGAATGACAGACGCGAACCCGGAGGTCCGACAGCGATCGTGTCATTTGGTGGCCGGGCCCCTCGTTTCTGACTCCGAGACGGAGACGGAAACAACGACCTTCTTCGGATACTAAAAGATCATGGATGCTATATCTGACGGGGTCGCGGGAGCTTCCGAGCAGTGATTCCGATGTCAACGAATCTCAGCCTTGTCAGAGCAAGGAAGGAATTCCGCTGTTCCCGGCACCGGAACCTCCAGTCATAAGCTGAGTCGGCTTGTTCCTCGACGTCCCAAGGAAACGGACCATTCCTGTCCTTGCTGCTTTATCTAAGCAACACTCAGGATCGGGGTCATTTTCCTCGCACATTCCGTCCCGACCCATTCTCTGATAGGAGTAGGTGCGCGCCGCTTCGCCCTTCCGAGCTGGACCTTACGATGGACTCGGTCGACGAGAGGAATAGAGCGAGAAGAATCGGAGATTCCACATTCACTCGCGGTCAGACGCGTTGCGAAGCTCTCCTGTCCGCTTTCGCTCACGACTTTCGTTACGGCAGTTGAATGAAGAGGACAGAAGTGACGGTAACCTGTTTCGTGAAAATAGTCGGGTCCCTACAGAGACCCCGTGGCTGTTCAAAATGCGATTCCATTGCGAAAAGTTCGCTGTTCCGGGGTTCCCGCTGTTCAAACACCCGTCCTCTAATTCGATTCTGCTGAGGCTTCCGAGCACACTTCCATCGTTGCCCTCGAGGTCCACTGAGAGAACTTCCGTAGAGCAGCCGGGGAAAGAGGCTTCTTATCGGGTCCATTCCGAACGAGTCACGTCCCGACCGGTAAGTCGCTGACAACGAATTGAGAGACGAGAACGAAAGTGAGCAGCGACATCGCAAGCGAAAATGTCGTTGCTTCAGTTCCTTGTGATCCGAGTTCGGGTGTCTTGTTCGATTTCAACGAGTGGAATGGGCCGCCGAACAATGGAGACTGCGGGAGCAAGCAACTTTCGACAACATTTCCGGGACCCGACTCATCAGAGTCCGATACCGACCTACGTCCATCGATGCAATTCCGGAATTCGTCGTTTGAGACATGATCGACACCTATTGCGCCGTGGACTCAACCCGAGCTGAAGCAAGAGGATACGAATCAACGTTCAGGCGTCGCGTCGCCACTACGGATTTGATGGAACGAAACTGGAGCCTTGCAGCATGCCTATGTGGCAGCTTCACGGAGAGTCTTTGGCGAATTCTCTCTTGTGGTCGTTCCATGCGTCATCCAGGTCAATAAGCGTTGCGAGATTTCAGAGCGCCAGAAGAAGTCCCCCGACTGTGGGGAACATTCCGATGGAATTCAATCCTGGGCCGGTCCGACGACAAAAAAATAGTCAGCCTGCGAAATAACTCGTTCCCGCGGCTTTCGGAACACCAACACTTCAGAACAACAATGTGTGACTACAGCCTAGCCTCATATACATATGCTGCTTGTTCAACGCATCGGGGTTCTGCCTCTCTTCCCGTAAGGATTCGAGCGTTGGCGAAGTTGAAGGACTGCACATAGTTCTCGAACGTTCCGCAGGTTTCTGAATGAGCTAGAAATCTGCCTCTTTTCACAGGGATGGAAGACCGCAAACAGTCAAGAGGGAAGTTTCCCGGGGCCAATGACCTCCCAGCTTTCGGAATACATACATCTCGGATCGAGATGAGGAGGTGTCGGCACCGCTACAATGCGCCCATGCCGGCCAAGAGATTCGGGTTAACACATTCCAAGCGATAGCGGATAGCGTGAATGGTTCTCGATCGTCGATACATCGTTCGGTACAAAAAACAAATTCGGGCTCTGCGATTCTACACGCATCGCGCTCGGTATCACCTACCTTGTATTTACAGAGTTGTTCATCATCCACGTCTGAAGGCCGCAATTGATTCAACACTTCTTCGAGTCCAGTGATACTGTCTGACTTTCCTCGATGATTCCGGTCGAACTACGCAGAATTTCAGATAAAACAGTCAGGTTAGACAGGGACACCGTGAGAAGGGTTCGGGCGCGAACGATACGGGCGGGCTTGAACATTGAACGAACGGTGAAATCGCTCAACGGGACGAGCCTTCCTCGAAGAAATTTTTGACGAACGCTTCCCCCGAATCCGGCAACCGAGACGCTCGTCCGGGTGAGTTATTCGTCGTCTAATGGGGTCCCATCGGGTGCACGATTAGCCGAGCAACAAATAAACAGCCATATCCTATCTTTCGAAGCCACGGTCGAGCTCATTGGAGCTTTGACAATCGAGTTTCGAAAGGGCAGAAAGGTGGATGGATGGGTCTCGGTCCGGACGATCGTCGCAGTTAGCATGCGGGAAACTATATTCGTGTTTCTGACAGATTTCGATGTTCCAGCCTGCGCGATGCGATTCCGCTCGTTCAGCGACAGTTATAGTGGCTTCGGGATGCAGGACTCGAAAATTCGGGTCCGACTGCGGTGTGTTTCAAACGAGCAAGCGTGACCAATCTCCGAGTTCAGATGCAGGTCACAGGAACGATAGAGAACACGGTAAATAGAGGAATAAATATAAAATTCAGAGAAGAGAATGACTCAAATAGAGTTTCCGATCGTTCGAGGTAGGTTGCGCAAGCACGGGAGGATCACCAACAGCATAGATCTCGGACCATGACTTTCAGCAGCCGCGGTAGAAAGAGCAGCTATCGCAGGGGTAGAAATGGTGAACAGCTCACTTGTCATCAGAAGTTTGGGATCAAAGTGATAGAGAGATAGCGGAAGAGAGAGAGCGTTGAGGGGGAGAGGCAGAAACACGACCACATGTAGATAAGGTAAAAGTTTCGTACCAATATCAAACTTACGATTCGCAGAAGGGACCAAGAGTTACGCCCCTTGCGGCCAGACTCTGAAAATTGACTCTTCTGGCTTAGAGAGTCCTTGCGTCAAATCAGGGCAGAGTCGGAGAGGGATCGGCGAGATACCTCGAGGCAAGTCACAGAGGAGATAGCGGCTCAGTGATATTTATGTGAATAGGATCGCTGAATTTAATCCGACCACGGATAAAGGGGTCAAACTGCAAGGCTCGGGAAGCCTCGATTCATCGATAGAATCATCGAATACTGGGCTCAGTGATCGAAGTTTACATATCTCGGGTAGGTTCGGTTTTCGAATGGAGACGCCTTCGGCTACGGTTCAATGCGGCTTCTGAGAGGAATAGTCGGGGAAGGGGGTTCAAGACTTAGAAGAAAGAGGAAATTCGGGCATCACATCTTGGCTTCCGCGTCCAGACCAGCTGTCTTTGGAACGACTTGCTCAGATTCAGCCCTCAGTGTCTGACAACGCCAACAGAGCCTCCGGAATCAAATTCCAAGACGGACTTCTCTGACAAATCCCCCATCGTCCCCTTCTCGAGAATCTCCCCTCTCTGTTCATTCACGCTTTCTAGAGGTCTCCGGGATCTAAAGGGAGTGACATCGGCTTTTTCTCCAAGGTGGGGGTGGCTCCTGACGGTAACCTGTGAAGAGAATGCTCACGTACCTTCACTAGCCACAGCCATCAGTGACTGCGTCGAGCCATCCACCTCTGCGAAGCGAGAAAACAGGGCGTTAATTAATGACGAGGCCCGGTCTATACGGTTCTACTTTAACAAGCATCTTGTTAGAAACTGTGGAAAGCTGCCCGTAGCCAGTTAGACACGATCACTGTGTTGCCTCATCATGCGGGAATATCGGTCTCTACGAAGGAACTCCGATCTACAGACAAGGTGACAACAACAAGGAATTCGAATTTCTCCGGAGTCTCAGATGAATGCGCCGATTTCATTCGGGGACTTTATTCGGATTCAACTTTCTTGAACTCATTCAAGCTCGATGCTCCACGAGTGAACCCTTTTTTATTATTCCCCAGGTCTTCGGCTTTTGATAACTCTCGCTCAGTTTTGTCGCTCCCGTAACGACGACGCTCTACTCAGTGTCGCCTTCCTGTTTACGACTCGGTATACATTGGCGTACACGTCCGCCTGTTTCCCATGGGTCGTGCGTGTCAGTTTTTCAAGACAGCTTGCGTCAGACCCCAGAGACCGGACCGAGCAACAACGATGTCCTCTCGGCTACCTGCGAGCTAGCTGCGTCTCGGAAGACCAGGAAACGACGCCAACAAAACAGCGCTCCAAAGCTACCAGCCGTCCGAGAAAATCCTGCCCGTGGAGTTTGTTGGGATTGGAGGGGCTCCGTCGTGGAAACTTATCTATCGAGTCAGAGGTCGGTTCGGAAATTTTAGCTTACGGGCATCGAGCCAACGGGCTCAGGAATCCCAGAGGTCCGACAACAGAATCAGGCTTCAGAGATGAAATCCCGCCTCGGGATCCGTCTTCTATTCATCATTATACATAGAACTACCTGATGACTTCCCCATTGATAAGATTCGAATCGGACGGAAATGGACATATTCGCGAGAAAATGTTCAGGAAGGAGCCCACTATCGCGAAATGTCTCGAGTCATTCTTGATTCGGCTGTACCGCGAGACTGTGTTCCCGAGTGCATTTCTCTCCTTCAATGGTATCTCACCTTGCTGGGCTTGTGTCAGGATATTGTTTCGCTGAGTCAACACCTTCGAGTAGACCAGAAGATCCCCAGACGGTGAGCTCGAGTCGGCAGCGCCGCACACTTCGACAGGGCCGCTGCTGCTTCTTCGTCGCTCTATAGGGACCTCATCACTGTAAGGAAAAAGATGAGCTGAATCGGGCATATTACTCGATGGACACAGAATCTCGTTGCGTGTTGAAGCGCCAAAGCGTCCGCCTCAAGGTGAAGGGTGCCGTGGCACGACGCTTCACCATCCATTCCGACGCTCGAGCATACTTCCGGGTTCTCATATGCGATACGTTCGGGCGATTCAATTTCTGCGACTCTCAACTCGGAATTTTACGCAGAAAACTGGGCGGGGACGAGCTCGGATTCCATGCCGCGGTTTCCCAGGAGAGCCGATATTTCATGGTCCCACGCAGGAGCACCGGGTCTCCTAAAAACACCCTCGTTTCTCGATTCCCGGAATATGGATGATCCCGCGCCCCAAATTCCGCACCAACCCACGATTTCTTCGAGCGAGACGAGGCCGACGACCAAGAGTTCGTTTCCTGCCTATCGCTTGAGGCTTCATGATTTCCCTTCGGTATGATAGCTCTTTGCTCCGGTCCCAAGAATCGGATTGGTGTTTTTTGTTCACGTAAATCTTTGCTCTTATTGAAAATTCCGGAAGGGAATTTCCCTGCTGCTTCGGGATTGCCATAAAAGACTGTCGACTGATGGAGCGGGCGCATGAGCCTCTAGCACCAGGAGGTCGGAGGATTGTTTTTTCGCAGCTTCCCATAGGGCGGCGGTGAGTCCGACAGCGATGAGCGACTTTTTCTCTCCTATTTCGAGGTTGTGATGCCTTGTATCATGAGAGAGCCCCGAAACGCGTTTTTTTTTGCGCCAAAAAGCATCAAGTCTTTCCCCCCGCCATTATGATACATTGCACCGGTATTAGGAGGAGAAGACCACCGTAAGCAGATATGCCGGCCCGGCGGGAAGCTACTCAGCAGAAAGTTTGTGCGGAGCTCTTTTTTCATACGCGTCGGAAGGGGTGTATCGTCGCCGCTAATCCAGTGTCGAATACTGAGATGTGTATATCATCTTGATGAACGGTGCGGCACATATGGAGTGCAAGACGTCTGCGTGCCTGCGACACTGTCAGACCGAGGATCTCCGACGCACCCGCCCTGCTTAGGGTCGAGAAAGCATCAATCGACGGTCCAACTTCTCCTCATTTTTGTTGCGGAACTCGCAAGACCAAACGAAGCGGGTAAGGATGAGAAGTCAATGACTCAAGACAATCCTTAGCGAGCGTGAAGTTGGGCTTGATTCGGGAGAGCTCCTCAATCCTTGAGTCTACACGGGGATTCAGACGAGTCGATTCGCTGATCGTGTTCCGGTTAACACGCCGGAATTCCTGAGCCGTTCATAGTGCAGAGAATGAGAGAATGTCAAGCGTTCATTCCTCTCTGGACGGTCCTGCGATCGAGATCGGAAACTAATAATGTGGGAAGACGAAGTATTGAAGGCGAAACCTGAAGAGCGTCCGGAGCTCCCGAGAAGAAAAAATATCGGCATTAATCCGATCCTAGCACGGGGTACCGATCGAGGAAATTCCACGGGAGTGCGATCGGTCGGTCGGCGGAATCATCCGTTAGTTGCTTCGTGGGTCCCTCGGGTGTTCCCCATCGATGCAGCGTATGCGCAAAAATGGAGCTCGGCTGGCCTGATCGAGGAGAATTGCTTTTTCAATATCAGAGTGGACTGGAAGAGGTACGAACCCACTCCGAGTCAGGGATCTGACGCCGAGGCCCTCCCTGCAGAGCTGCCGCGGGAGGAGAGCGCGTCTATCTGATTTCGGTGGGAGAACATCAACAGATAGGATCCTCACGGAGAAACGAAGTCATTCGGCAAACGACCTCAGCGAGCTCTGCGACCATCCGCTGGGATTGCGTTCTGACTCCGGAGAGTCGCAGAAGCAAGTGGGAAGAGGAAGCGGAGGAAGTCGCCGACGTAAATTGGATCCGGAGGCCCGATCTGCTCCGATAAGCCCGTATTTCAGAAAGTTTTCCGGCAGGCATTCGCTGTATCCCTGTGATTCCGAGCTCCCAAACAATGGGAGAGGTGAGCCGAGACACGACTCAAATTTGGAAGTGCTTTCCCAATTTGCGTGGCAGGTCGTGTTGTAACATCCGTCCCGTATGTCAACTTCGAGAACATGTCAGTAACACACGGATCGCGCAGAAGCGCTCTTCCCTTGTTCGAGATGGAGCGCGCCGATTCGGAAGCTCCCAATCCTTTTGCCTGTTGTTGACGTACGCCAGTCGGAGCAAGAACGAAAAAATGGCGACCTTGCAGAGGCAGCAGAAAAGTTTGTGTCTTCCAACGCAACGAGTGAATATTCACGCGCACGTGCGAAAGAGCGTACACATGGGTAGTTCTGTCAGACACTAGCACCGTCCCACCGATTGTCCGACTTCGAAGTCTTCGCTTCTAACTTCCTGGCCGGCGGAAAGAGAAGCCCATGCATCTCTGAGCATTTTTCTGGCCAACTACCTAGAAAGGACCGTAGTCCATAGAGGCTTTTCTCTAGAAAGCCGAAACTCTGATCCCCTCATCCGCATGCTCCCAGAAGCTGATGGAAAGGAAATCGGGTGGAACCTGAGGAAGGAGACGCAATCTGGCGAACAGTGCATGATAAGGCCCTAGACACGTTCCGGATATACTTTCAGATGAAGAAAAGACCTCTTATGAATGAACAATGAATGTCGAGGTAACACTCACCTATGACTTGCGTCTTCATAGCCATCGGGACAAATTAGCTGGAACAGAGAGGACTTTAGCATACTGACGTGAGCAAACGAATAACCTTAGTCCGGGTATCTATTCTGCTGCGTACACTCGGACGTTCCAGCGAAGGTGAACTTGCTGCGCTAAATAGGTTACGCGGGGTACCGGAGAATTCGGATTCGATTCGACTCTGAGAATCGACTTTTCCCTTTCGGCGTATGTGCCTAGTTCTGTGGCGAAATTGTTCACAGATTTCGTAATGGCCGGATGCAATACGGCGCTTCCCGGCATCGCACAGCCACATCTATCTGCTTCACGTCCCGGCTGTGTTCATACATGCTGTGGCCAGGATCCGCTATATTTTATCCTGAGGGGCATGAATGCACTAGAGGCCCATCTCCCTCCAGCCTTTAACAAAGTGGTCTCTGCTGACAAGAAGCTGAGCACAAAGGGTTCAGCGTGCGAACATCTCGTCAGAGCCGGTCTTATCTTAACTCTGCTTCCGATGGGCGTTCATGTGGAGGACACTCACTGATAATTTCTAACGTGGATCTCTAATTGATCGTTACTCGAAGCAGGGCCTCATCTTTCATACATAACAGGCGCACTAGGACACAACGCACACATGACAGGAAGCTGAAGCTAGGAAGGCACCGACACGGAAACGCGGGCGGAGTATTGGGCTGCGCTCGTGGCGTCAGAGGATCGACTCATCACATTACTCAGAGCGCGAACCAGATGATTGCAAACAGTCGCGACTAATACCTCTCGTCGCGGAAACCTGTTTCCGCGTCGAACATCACCGCCCACTCCATACTAATCGCGCTGGGATCATGGTACGATGCGGTGTGCTGTGTTGTGGAACTTATCCACGCTACCGCTTCAGCCACCATCGGAATAGCTTCTAAGAGCTGCGCCCCGCTGTCTGTGAGCTCACAGAGAGCCTCGGGACTCTAACCTCGTCGCGTCGGGGGCTCCCACGCCATCACTCGACTGACTGGGAAGAAAAACATTAAGGCGTGTCGCCACTCGTCACCGAGATGTTTCGCTCTGGCTTCGTTTGAAGGAGAGACTAATGACGAACGTTGGTGAATCAATGAACGGTTTGTACGCAGTCTATGCTCGATTGGGAGTTCGGAAAAATCCATCTCTGACGTCACGATCGAAATTCCCTCCTGCTCGTGAGACTGCCCGCTCGTGCGCACGACTTCTCCACGGCTCCGACTTGTTCGTCGCGAGTTCAGTCCTCGAATTTTGGAAATTTCGAGGCAGGCTTCGAACGACATCAACCCTGCCCTGCATGACTGATCTGATGTCTCGTCTCTACCTTGATGGTGTCGACTGTATCTTATCGGGAGTCCTTCTTCAATTCTACTGCCTTTCGATAGATCTGGGGCGCTCCATCCCAAACGTAGTCCTTCCGCACTTGTGCGACTCCACAAAGTTTCGGCTTTGATTCATCCGAGTCCCGGAGCTGGAGCGTCCCGATCGACTCGTGGACGAATTCGGTCAAGAGCAGAGTTCTCGAATGAATAACCTCTCGTGACACTTCGAGGGATCGTCGTCAAGAGCTTCATCGAATGGAAATCCTAGAGAGTCGTTCTCTGACTTCCGACGAATCTCCCGCTGTGCTCGAATAATGATTATACTCCGAGAGGACCTCAGCGCAGACCTTGCTCAAGGTCATTTTTTCGGTAGTCTCTGGCTGCGACAGCATAGGACATTCCTGGATGAGCCAGGACGAGGCTCGCTTTCGGAGGCGATGTTACTGCCCAGCGTACCCCACGGCAAAGCTGAAAGCCTCCGGTGGAACTACGAGAGAGTTCAAAGCGTACCAGGAGCGTATAGCAGCGGATACCGTGACCGATTTTTATCCGCGTCCCGATGCTGATCCTCTGCGAGCACCTGATCATCATGAATGTCTTATGCGAGGATCGTACTTCTTAAGAGATTGAGCATGTTCGGAACAAACAATTCGTCAGGTGGAGGGGAAACGAGAAGACGCGCCGTCTCTTCGAGGGCTTAAAGGAAAAAACGTGCCACGCACGGCATACGAATCAGAGAAACTTTCGCCGACGATCGTCTCCGTCTGAGATCGTAGAATCACACAAAACCATCCGCTGAGATTTCAACTTCCCTCGGAAGAAGTTTGCGCCGACCAAATTTTCTCCCTTCACGGAATTGCGAAAAGGCGAGTTGCGGAATAGAAGAAAACTGTGACTCGAACCCCATCAACCCTTTTCCGAAAGAACGTTTTTACGTCCTTCAACGTGACGGTTCTCCTGGAGCTGACAATCAGCCGCTGAACACAATCGAATTAGAACGCAACAAATGTCGGCACGGGACTGGAGTCGAACGAACCCCCAAACGAAGTCACCGCAAACAATATAAAAAAAGAACAGGTGCACAACTGCAGCAGCTCTGGTTCGCGAGTGAGACCGCCGGAGGGCTTTCCTAGGATTGGAGGAGCCAGGAATCGAGTGAAGGAATTCGATTTTAGCTAATTCTCAACGCCCAAAGTGTGTGCCACAGAGGAAAAAGCTGAGGAATAAGTCCGCCTAGCCTCCGACAGACTCGGATGCCGGCTCCAGCTCGGCGACGATACGGCCGTACGGAACAGCTTTGCGGCAGAACCGTCGAATCGACTCCGTGGCTAATACCCTCGTGGTACAGGCCGGTCGGGACTTGTATCGCTCTCTGATGCAGTCAATTATCGTGCAGCGGCATCGGACTTGTTCTGTGTATCATCTGGTAGAGCGAGCCCTTGGGCATATTTCTCCATTAAAGCTCTGGTCGAAAGCTGAGATTCGATCGAGCGACGCTGACGTCGGCATCAATTTGGCGCTGGAAAGGCCACACTGGTGCGCATTGTACGTGACCTATGGCGACCAGGCCGCAACGCCGTACGACTGCCGCTATGGAACCGTCAGGATCGCATAACCTGAAGGGATCTGAATGGAGTCTCAGGAGACACTCTCAAAGTGCTGCCTCGGCTTCGCGCCGAGTGAGCCGCTTCGGCGGGTGGGCGACGGTTGCAAAGTTTATTATCTTCTCGCACAGCGATCGCAAGCGTCTCGGTGAACGATCCGCTTTTCGCGGTCCTATTCTGTGGCTTTTTGCCGCGCGGGTATCTATCCACCCACTGTAGGTCTATATCGCTTGCGTCGATGGCGGAGCCGATAAAAAGATACGGTCAACGCTCACGGTATCTGTGGGATGAGATCGTTCTCCTCGGTTTGGCATCGGCGCTTGATCTACTCGGCTGTTTATTGGAAAAATCCTACTCACCTTCGGAGGGACTAAGGCTCTTCTTCGATGCAGCGCCGACGCTGGAGGCTCATCCTGAACGACCTCTTCCTCCTCTTCAGAGGCCTCACTTTTCCCGGAAAGTCTCCGGAACATTCGTTCTTGGTCGTGCGCTTCGGGATGTACGTTCGGCGACGGGAGGTTTAGCTGGAACGAATTCACGCCGAGCTTCCCGTCGCGACCTGTAAATGGACGGAGTATCCGGATTATATTATAATGATGATAATATAATAACAATGATCTCTGGATTCCTGGGGATGCTGAGCCTGAGGCTCGGTGCTTTCTCGACTTAGTCACGACATTCATCGGTGAACAAAGGGTCGCCAGGTGAAGAACGTGTTCTGGATGATCTATTGCAGCGAACAACGTGTGAGGGACACTTTTCGGGGCCCTTTTCCAAATCACGGAAGGTTTAGTTCCAGTTTTAGAGGATCAGCTAGCGGATATACATACACGTTATGCAACTCTGTTGAACCTGAGTAAGCCTGTAGGCTCCGCACACTTAAACCTATCGGGAATATCCGCCGCCTCAATATTGAGGAACTTTTGGGTTCTGCAGGCTTTCGGCGCGTGATTCTATTCAAGCTCCCTCCCGGGATCCTACTCGACTCATTTCCCTGACGAACTAAGGAGTCCATCCATGCGCGATCTCGAGTCTGAGGTAGGTGAGTGGTGTTTATCTTTCACGCTGAGGCGTTTTTAGGCTCCGCGAAGAGGCGTTCTAAGTGTTCTCAAAGCTTGTTGTTGATATTGAAATCGAATAAGCCAACCTGTTGAATGGAGGGGACTCTTGCTCCAGGTAACAGCACGAAAGAGTGTAGGGCCACATCGACGTCGGCAGCGCTGAGAGAACGTGCCGAAGAGAGCGCTTGGGGCTATTCTTGAAAAAGCTCACTCAGTGAAAAGCACAAATTTCCATTGACTCAGCTCATTCATTCTCTCCAACTTAAGGGGGAGTGCACACCCTTATTCGCTTCTCGGAAAACACTGACGGGGAAATTTCGCACGCAGAAAAGTATTCGGTTCGGCGGAATCTGAGCCACGTAATTCTACGGAACTTCCGCTCCCGGATCCGATGAGCGAGCTAGGATGTGGGCACAGCCGAAAAATCCTATTCGTGGTAGAAAATAATGAGTTCCATGTTTCGACCGACGACTGTCTGTATTCCATCGGGCTGGGTTTGGACTCGCAGGATCACGAGTCCGCAAGACGGGATTCCGATTGTTCCGAATCGCTACAATGTTTCGACGTCGTGATCGGAGCTCGCTTCTTCCCTGCGTCCACGGACTTCATTTCTATCTGATCTAGAGATTAGAGGTTGAGTTTTATTTGAGGAAGTGCTCCTTCACATTCTCCATAACTCGCGGGGTTACCGACCGGGGGGGTTGAGAGATCGTGTTCGGCACAACGCTTCTTTAGGCCTGAGCGGGATTCTCCCAAACGTTCGCCGCGCTGCTGCAAGTAACCGAAAACTTGTACGAAACTTCAAGCGTTTGTTTCGCATGACGCGGAAGCCCCCCCCCTCCCTCCTCATTCCTTCTTCGGCTACCGATGACTGAGGGAAGCGTCTGTGGCAGCCGTAGAATTCGGGATTGAGAATTAGAGTAAGAGCGTTATCCGCGGGAACAGGTGAGCCGCGGGATTGTATTCTTCTATCGGCTCGAAGGCGACGCAAGTTTCTTCCCAAGAAACTTGCGTCGATGAAATACTAGATGAACACTTTGGAGAATGTGTGCTCACCGGCTGCTATGAGTCGATCGTCCATGGGCGGGTTAAATCTCGAAAGTTCTATCTCGTAGAAAGATATATTGACTCTCGCTCTGCGTGGGGCGGGCCGACCGTCGGCGTCGCCGGGATTCGGCATGGACGCGACCCGAATCAATGGGACGAATCCGCGCGAAAAAGAGACGCGAGATTTCACTTTTTCTTTGGAATGGGAACCTACCTCCGCTTGTGTTGGGTATTCCAAGGTAGAGGGAACTCTTATTCGGGGGTTGCTGTTGTGAACTCGAAGAAATCGATAAATCCAGGAGTCGTTGCATGGATTCGAATGAAAAGCAGCCTGAAGACGCATCTATTGAAGACGTGCAGCTTCCAGTCTGCGGAACCGAGAAAAAAAACATTCATTCAATCGAAGAGTTAGCGCAGTGGATAGGAATAGAAAACGACCGACTGGGTCAAGCTGGCCGAGCCCAGCTGGGTGGGATTTTTCTACAATGGTTGCTCGGTGGGAGCCAGTTTCCATAGAGGAGCGAGATTCGGTGGAGATCGTGCTCGGCATAAATGGTCCGCTCATTTTCTTCGCATTCGATCGCAGTAGCAGCAGCGAATCGGAGCCTCACGTCCTGGGAAAATTCGCCCGTATAGCTTAGCGGAGTCATCGCTTGAATCTTTTCGGACTTCGCTGACAGTTCCGTAGGGCGGCCCTGCGCTTCGGTGGGATGGCGTTCCGCTTCTTTTCATTAATCTCTCGTCCTCTCTCTAGGCTATCCGCATTAGAATTCGCTGGGCTCTCAGACGGGCGAGACCATGTTCGAAGAAGGACTAGTACATTCTGGAATTTGCTTGGAACTCACCTGTGAAGGTATGCGTATACTCAAGTGATTATCGGTTGCATCTTCATTATCGAGACAGCATTGAACTGCGGCGTCCCGCTGCCATGGGAACCTGTGATGAAGAATTCCTCCATAAATTTATTTTTGTTTCCCTTCTTGATCAACGCTGGAGGGACATTCTTCCCATGAGCAGTGCTTGTCGAGAACGGAGGACACACACAGCTTGTTTCCGTCGACTGGCCTCATTCTGCACGTTACTCTGGTTGGGGCGAGCGGCCTGTCAAAATGCTGCAAAACCGTCATGAGCTCTGCATCGGAGACTAGTTGTGACAAGAACGATTTTCCGGGCTTCGACAGGAAAAACCAGTCGATTTCCTGATTAGAATTCGTTTCCCCTGTCTCTGCTCAACATTTTGGAACATCAAGGCCGGCACTGGTGGATAATTGGTTTCCCTCTGAGAGTGTCAACAATCTCGTCCTGTTCCGTGGGGAGCTCCGAGTGAGACCGGATAGCGATTTTCATTTCCTCGCAACGCGGCGACCGACAGCCCGGGCTCAATGCAGGGAAACTTATTTGACAGTCACGCCGCGCCATCGTCAGTCACGCGCGACGTTCGGCGGAAAGTTGAGCGCCAGTAGGCATGCTAATGAATTTCCTGTCATTTGAGCGTATTTTTTGAAATCCCAATCCAAAGAAATATCTCGACGCGAGCGCTCGTGGGATATGTATGAGCTCTCCAAGGGACCGGACTGTTCAAGGCGAGGACGGAATTTGCGGGCGGATTTTTAAGATTCCGCGAATCTTCAAAGAAAATTCCCATACTGCGTGCGGGACCTCGATATGTGTCATCCGTCCATCCGTATGGTGCGACAACACCTACGAGCATACAAACGATTCAGCAAGCTGAGCTATTCTGAGCCCTTGGGTGTCTGCTCATGGTGGTCGTACTCCACTCCGTGAACTGAGAGACCATACCGAGATCACCGGCTGCTTCTAATGGCATGAACAAATATAGATTGCAAGCTCAGCCATGGAGCACGAGCTCTGCTGCCAAATGCTAAATCCGATTCGGGGATGAGCTCGATCTTCACCAACCTGCGCGTCTCGGAAAAAGACGTTCCGGTACTTATTTTATTTCGACCCACGAGGTGTGTCGATGCCTTCACGAGTCGATCTTGTCGTGCCCTCGGTGAGCGAGAGGAGTAGGTATACGCATTTCGAGACATTTGACGGCATGCGAGGAACGACATATCTGAGAAAGCGAAGCACTGAAATCGTACGTCTACTAATCGTACCGCCGAGTTATCCCTAAACGGGAGTCGTTTGATGATCTTTTCGGCGAGAGTCTCTCCGACTCCTCCGCGACTGAGTTGTGGGAGATTTGCCCGATTTTATCTCTGCCACTGGCGTCTGCCATACAAGGACCTACGGCCATGATCCAATCAAGACGATGTGAGAATTTCATCAAGTCTTTTAGGCCAATTTTCGAAGTCATTTCCGTACGCCGGAAATGAGCGATAGACAAGCGCTCTTGTTTCAAGATGGAGGACTCAATGAGAGGACGAGTGTGGCGGAGCGAGGACCAGGATCCAGAGCGAAACTCTTGTCGGCGAATCATCCTCCTGCGTCGATTCAAGCAACCACGAACATACCTGGGATTCTCTCGCTCGCTATTGATGTCTAACGCACTCCCGTACGTGGTCTCCGAGAGAGCGTACGAGGAGATGAGGCCGCCGCTTGAATGCCCTGCTGACCCGCTCGGTGTCGTGTTGCCTGTCGAAGGTCCCCCCGAACCAGGGCTCATGTAAGGTGAGGATGAAGGCGCAATAGTAGGTGGCGGAGCAACTTGCAGAGAACAGCGGGGGCGCGAATTTCCACGAGCCTGAAATCCAATCCCCAAATCCTGAGAAACCTTCCCGCGCGGAAAACTCGGCCCGAAAGTAGAGACCCTCAGACTTTTACATGTGAATGTCTCGGGGATGACGCCACTTCGGGGAGCCGCATGAGAACGTTGGCAGCGGCTAACCTCGAAGACGATCGAACCTTTCACGCATTTACAGACGAACCGTCTTTGAGGTTCTACGTTCGACCGCTTACGTACGACGGATCTGAGCTCCCGATTCTTTCTCCGCTCAGCGACACCCGAGGGGAACCTCTCGATCATGAAGCAACTATAAGAGCTCGGGAGTCCAGGCATGGCTCACTTAGAGCAGTGATATACTATGATAATAGAATGATGATTCGTGCGTATCGATATCAGCTCGGCGTCTTCTGTCATTCATCAACCCGTCTCTGACGATGTATTTAGGCTGGAGAGTTATCCATGCCTGGACTTCCTAGCTCATGACTCATGAAAGAAGACATGAGGTTAAGGAAACATTCCGAATTCCTCGCTTTTTTTCATCGATATTCAGTTTCCGGTCGGCGGCCCCGATGTGATCAGAACAAGGGATTCCGCTCAGATTTTTCTCGGAGTCTACTACTTCCCATTATCCGGGCGTAATGCTTGCAGATAGGAGCATTCCATGTTGTTTTCTCCTCAAAATTTCGATAAGATAGGGAAAATGTTCCTAGCGATGACGCCCACCGCCGTCTGAGGACCTTCATTCCCAAAGTAACATCGATCACTACTGACCGGGGAGCCACTGTTTCCTCATTTACTCATATGAACGGGCGGCCATCGAAATATGACCGCTGGAGCGAAGGGGAGTTAATGGAAGATACTCCTTCTGTTACGAGCAGCGTAATACAAGGAGGTCCGGTCGAGAATCGCCCTATATCTCCTCGAAAGCTGGATCTTTCCTCTTGCAGATGAACAACCTCGAGGATGTTCTAGATGTGAAACGTAAATCGGAGTTTCAGTGAAGCTTGAAATAGGCGCAGGGGGTCCCGATCGTTTACAGGGCGTATGATTCCGTTTTTTCCGCGTAACGATTCTTCGTTTGCTTTCCGCCCGGGGAGTCCGGGCTCGGTGTCCTAGTCTACATGGTTGTGCGACAATGTTACCTTATTAGCGGCTTCTTTGACGACATCCGGCTTGAATATCTCAGAATAACTCCGTTTCGAAGCGAACTTCTCGCGGAGAGATTTCGTTCGCCCCGAAAAAGATCTTGTTGTGTTTATGTTGCTCATCCTGTACGTCTGTGGAAATAGAGAATGATTCGTTTTAAAACAGTCGTTCAGGCACTAAACAAGTGCTGAAATTTTCTAGGACATATATGGACACATTCCCCGGCAACTCGTCGACTGGATCCTCTCCCTTGGATGATTTCTGGCTGTAAAAAAATCTGAAAGCGCCTCACGAAGGTGTTTAGGTGAACGCAAATCAAGGCGTGTGAGTGTGTGCGCCGCGTGCCGAGGACCGGCATGGTCGCTCAGCGTAATAAACCTCGCTCTTCGCGGCGACACTTGATGCCGACTTCCGAGCTCATAATTACAGTGCTTCAGCCGCGAGAATTTCGAAAAGACTGGCTCCGCAGGACCAGCGTCGGGTATTCGTATGAGGGGTGCGGCAACCGATGATAATGTTGCAATAATTACGACGACACGGACAGGGATGTCGACGAGATGATCATTTGGAATTCGTCCATGTAATCAGAAAGCTCCCTCGGAGTCGTCCTATGGAAATCGTTAGATCTGATCAAGTGAACTCTGTGAGCGTATCGCTGCTCTCCCAAGTGGAACACAAAGCGGGTTCTATTCTAGTATCGAGTCCGAGAATGTCCTTCCTCGCACATAATTGCGAAACCCAGAGCAGTTTGTGATCTTAAGCCTGGATCGGTGCAAACGCTCTCTGGATAACACCACATGATTTCTAGAGACGAGCTCTTCCCGATAGACGACGATTCCACCAAGGGCATTGAGGTATGTGGGCTCCCTCCTAATGAACGCCTCCGTTCCGAAGCTGTCTATTTGAGAGACATATCGTTATTTTCGTGTGATTCGAAGACTGTGCCTTCAATGAGGAACGTGCAAACAGACCACAAGGATCCATAATTTCTCCGAAATTAGCTCAACAAATATCGCACCCTAAGCGATTTCCGGGCGTCATTTGGGATACTGCATGTGAACAATTAGGCACAACGAAGCCTGATTGCGGACGGTTTTTTGTTTTGATGAGGGCATGTTCTCCGGAAAACCGATGACTGCCGACAATAATTATTCCAGAGATTTCTTCAAGTTCGTTAGGAGGTATCGCTAAGCTGCTGGCGAGCATTCCCGGAGGACTAGACCTTGGAGCTCTCGAGGAACCTCCCCGAGGTCCTTCCCGCGAGAAGTGGGGCTGATCTTGAACGGCGGACAAGTGCCCGGAAGCTGAATTTCAATATCGTTCCGCAACGACAGTGAGCTCCACCGACAGCGAGTCCTCCAATTTGATGCTTCAAGACTTCCGAGTGAATCGGAACGAGCCCAAGTTTGATTTAGCAGTCATGTCCGGAAGACCTCCGCTGGAACAAACGGCACCGTATCTCGCTCAAACTTCGAGAGTCCAACGATTGAATACGCGTGCGTGACTTCAATCGAGTTTCAAGAAGGACTCGAGAGTTGTCGAGACAGCGCGTTCTGTCGGAGCACGGACCGTCCCGCTTAAGCCGCGCAAGTTCCGGGCAGTGATGAGTTCCAATTCATGGAAATCCATCACGGCTCATTCGACCGGAGAATTCTCGGAGTTCTCGAAGCGCTCGAGCGCTGAATCACACTTCTCGAGCGGATGTTCTCTTGGCCATGGCGCTTGGAAACCGAGTCGATGGAACATCATCGAAGCGTTTTCTTGACCGGGAATTTTTCTGACGGTCTGTTCTGGGATCTCGACCCCTCTCAGATGATTCGTTTTGGAAACAAACTGGCAAGGGAGCGGACCGATGGTACTCATGACGAATACCATAACGCATGCGCCGTATCACCGTCCCTTCAACCGTCTGAGGGGGAAAAAGCGGCTCGAAATGTCATCCGTCCTCTGTTTTGATTCCAGACTCCGAACCTTCAGGGATATCTTGGAAATCAACGAGATGAAATTCTTCTCATCGTTTCTCTTCTGCCTTCCCCTGGGGCTGTTCCCACGCACTCGAGGGAGACTTTCACCGGTGAAGATCAAAAGCGTTCAAGCTTTCAGGGGAATGGAGCCTTCCTCCAGAGTTAATTTTGATTTATCTCCCTCCTTGTGTCTGTTCAGATTGAAACCTGAGTTCTCGAAGTGCTCGATGAGCCTCCAGTAAGACTTGACTGCTGTTTTACATTCCAAAGTCTCGCAGAGCAGGGGCTCGGAGACGGCTCTTAGCCTCGGACAGGTTTCTGGATCGAAATATTCGAGACGTCCAACATTTTCGATCATTGCCATGATAGATACGTATTGTCGGTTGAAGAATGTTCATAGGGATCGGTAAACAGGTCGGATTGAAAAACCTGATCGAACGATTCGTTTGGCACCAACTCTCTTTTATTCTCGACTGGTGAAATGTATGGACAGAGCTCCACGTTTGTGGTTATTGAACTTCTACTGATCCACAGTCGCTCTGCGTCCCTTTATTTCTTATGAGCTGGAGAAGTCGACCAGAGTCGCTCAACTCGTCTATGTATCCTGAGTCTACGCTTCAGTACCGAAAGCATAAAACGAACAGTAGTTCTAGCTGGAGATGACTGGCGCGCTGTCTGATCTTTATGGTTTCTAGAATAGAAATGAAGATTCATATTCATTTCCCTGTATGTATTATATGTACAGATCATGTCGTCCAAAAATGGAGTGTCAAATTTATACATTAGGTTTATATTGCATGGATCAGAAAGCTTCCGAGAGAGTTGTTGAATAAGGACTTTCCGTCAACAAGGCATCCCTTCGGTGCTTTTTGAGAAGTTTTCAGAAGTGAGCTCTTCTAGATGATTTATATTCATCCTTGCAGATTTCATGTCATTATCGTTCGTCTCAACGCTCCTTCACCGGAAGTATCAACAATTGGGAGATTCTGATCAATAAATAGATGTCGGGGAGTACGCGACTCCGTGTTGTTTTCCTTGCTTCGATTCTCGCGTTGATCAGACGTGAAACCGAGCTCCGTTCCTTCCCTCGTAGTTCCGCAACTCTATCTGCTTCCCAATAAAAATCAGAGTTCTCCTATGACCACAAAAAGGTTTCCAGCCCTACGGCTCCGACGGGACCCTTCTGGGAAATCACTCGGCTGAAGTTTACAGCTTGTTTTCCTACTCAGTACACATCGCTCCTGTATGTAGTGAAATCGGAAGATTATTTCGTTGCTTTGTTCTTCTCTGCCACCGAAACCTCATGACCTTTTACTGGTTGGAGCTGGGAACTTGAGTGAGTGAGTGAATGAGAGGGAGCGGAATAGAGGAAACGCTTCGAGAGCTGTATCGGGAAGGCTGGACGAACTGCGCCGGCTACCCGTAATGAAGCAGAAGAACCGAAGAGCGGATCTTCGCGAGAGGCTCTGCGGCTGAGCACCCTCTATCCCTCCGCCGTCGCTCTCGCTTGCGTGCTTGTGTCCCGGCCTGTTCCCTTGTTCGCTAATGGCTGATGCGGACGGGTCCAGTCGCAGTAGCCTTTTCACAGGCTCCGGTTTGACGACAGGCTGCAGTAGCGCTCCATTCGCGATGGCGACGTCAGACTCTCGACTCCATTATTTATTCCATGAATTCCGAGAATCGTCTCGGTCCTCTCGAATACGTTTGTCACTGGGGAGTTAGCTGTTGACCGTTTTGGATCCGTTCTGAGTTGCATAAAATCGTCGGTCTTTCTGAGTGCTTCTTCAGGGAGGTTCAGAAAAATAGTTCACGCGAGACCTCTCGATGAATATCTCCACGATACTTTGTCCGCATCGAGCCGTTCTTTCAGTGCCGGCAGTTCTCTTCCGAATCGCGAAGTCGCCGTGCGAGGGAGAATCCGCGAACTACGCTCGTTTCGCTTTCCGCTGATTTGGCCGCTCAGGTAGGATTATAGGTTTCTGTTTGGCACTTGCATCCGTCTTGGTTTCGTATCTGTCGTCTCTGTCGGTCATGAACACAACACTTGAATCGTTTCGCTCAGAACTCGGCAGAGATTGACTCGAGAACCGACTCTCGGCATACGCAGCACGGTTTGCGTCTCCGTGCCATGAGATCGATGCCGAGCCGCCTTTTTCTGGCACTGATTCCAAGCCTGTTTCCTGTACCGAGTCTGGGACTGGGTTCTAGACAATCTAGATTCATGGGTTAAGTAAATCTATTTGAAAGCGGTCGACTCCTCTGCATATTTCAACACTCTATCGATGTCCGACATAACCTTCCGACGTTTGCTGGAACAGCCGAGGTTTCGGAGTCTTTGGCACACCATCATGCCTGCAAACAACAAAGACAGGAATGCGTTAATTAATGCGAACTCGAGAGAATCTCACTGCGTGCATGTCGTCGATGGAAGCCGATGCCATTTGTTAATTTCCCAACCCCGGTAATGAATCGTTCGACAATCATTGCGATGGAAGCAATGAAAAGTGATGCCGTATTTCATTTAAGCGATTGGTTCTTGTAGTGTTGGTACATATTGCTAAATCAAGAGACGACGCCGCTATCTGAACACTGTATGCGACGGGTGGCATTGAAATGACGCTATTCCTTCGACTTGGAACTTGGAATTCTGTGGTGACTAAGTGAATACATACACTCAGACGCAAAATACGAGACGTTCTGTGCATCGATCGGCTCGGATCAGAGCGAGCCGTGACCATGACCGAGGAGCATCGGTCCGCTCTCGATGGAAACTCTGGATGAGAGCGACGGGGCTCTTGCGCACAGGTCGCGTTCGGAGGAAAGAAAGATTCGCTGTTCTGCCGATCCCGACCAGTGGAGCTTCTCCATCAAATCGAACGAGTCGCGGTCGGCTCCAGACGCGACTCTGCATTGATTCAATTGCTTTCTGCCTCGCCACCGGTATCCGATGCGAGCGCGCGTACGCCCTGTCGAGGGCAGCGCCCCGCTGAATATCTCTGCGGTGGTTGCTTCTGACGCACGGTCGCCTTTTGTACGTGAACCCGCGAGCTCACCGGTACGCGTTGAACGTCGATATTATTATTAACCTCGGAGAATGCGAATGAGCGGGCGGAATTTCTCGATTTGTGCGCTCGAACCCTCCTCACTCCAAGCAATCAATGCTTTTATTCCGCCGTCGATTCCCTCACGCAAATTCAAAAACGAACCACCATGAACCAATTGAAGCGAGCAGATAAGGCTCCCCTTCGTCCGCCATCCCGATAATTTTGACCCGGAAAAACACTCCGAAGTACTCGGGGAAGGGAGAACTCGTTCTGAAGGCCGTGCCTCGATAGTCCTAATTCTTTGCCCTCATTCAAAAAGCTGATCGCAGCGGGAAGAAAATAAAGGGCGTACTCACCGAAATGATAACCGTCCTCTTGGCAATCGCTGGGGGACGATGTTCTCTGAGGCGGTGACGGGAAGAATCCTGTCGCCGGCGAAGATGAGGAAGCAGCGGCCGCAGCGGAATATCCTCCGCTTGAGACACCGAGGCCACTGAAAGTATGAATGCCGAGTGTGAAACTCAATCGATCGAGCTCGCGGAAGAAAAATCACGGAACAGCCCGAGAAAAACGCGCTCTGTGATGATAGAGGAAAAAACCATCGTTTAGGGCCGCTGCACACAAAAGCAACACTTGATCGACGTCTAGTGAAGCTCTAATACGAAGTGACAGGCGGGGCCCTGTAGACCGAAGCCGCCTTCCGGCCGAAAGAATTAGAGAGCCTTCGTTTTCGATTGTCCAGGAGGAGCTGCCACATAAATACCTACATCCCCCTCTTGTGCTACGTCCCTGGACAGCACTCCTCCTACCCCCTACCCGTAGGAGATGGACTCGGACGGTGCTTCACGGGAATGCCTTTCCAAGAACAGTCGCGGGAAAAGTCGCAGCGGCCAGAAAACAAATTCCTCCTGTCTCGATCCTCGAAACATTCGAGCGCAAGAAAATGCGCGTATCGCAGGATTTCTCGCGGGCCACGTCTTCGACTGTTTCTTTTAGGCTTCGGGTAGTGATTGTTCTGCGGCTGTCGCAGTCGTCGACAAGAGAGCCAATACACATGTGTGTTTGTACAGAGAGATCACCGGGATCGCTTTCGTTTTTTTTTCCCAAGGGAAGGGGGGGGCTCCTTCTAAAAATAACCGCAGAACGCAATGGGGAATACTCCCTGAAGTTCCCGCATGCCGAGAGCCAGTAGATATCTCACCCAGATTCGAAGCGTGAGGAGTCTCACCACGGAACTCACCTCGAATAACTAGCAGTACTCCACGGCTCCTCGTTATGAAGATTACACAGACTTGTGTCGTCTTCGCTCTCGGACGGATTCTCTCGACCGATATTTGGGGAATGTGAGCCAGTCGCGCACGATATCGCCATTGCCAGTTGAGCTGAAGCCGATGAAACGAGATCTTGGCTTTCGGGACTTCTGGCGGTTTCCTTCGCTACCGCGACAGTCGGCGAAGGTAAATCGACCGACATGGAAGTCGACACCGGCACCGACGGCGTTGGGGGAGGAGTGGCGAACGTCGAGGGGTTCGTCGGGGATGTCTGATTCGAAGGCGCCGACGGACAGCAAGACGACGATGATGACGTCGGAGTCGGTGGGGAAACCTGAGAACCGGTCGATGACGGCGGTGTAGGTGGCGTATGAGACGTGAGGAGACAATAGCCCCCTCCTGATGTCGGCATTCCTTTTGCCCCGGATGCCATTCCGGCAGCCGGTGTGGGCACCGAGGCCGCCTGGTAGCCGCCAGCGCCGCCGCCCGCTTGTGCCGCAGGACTTGTTTGAGACAACGAGTGCGGATGATTGGGAGCTGCAGCGCAGGATCCGTGATGAGAATTATTATTATGAGGACCAGATGCGCTGTACGTTGTTGAGGTAGTTGTAGATGCCTGAGAGTAACTTGAAGTGGTTGTTGTCGTCAATGAAGAATCGCCGATGCCCGTGGAGACGGTGGTTTGTAGCGCTGGGTTGAACAACCCGTAGGCCATGTGGCCCGAGTGGCCAATCGCGTTGTTTGCTGGTTTGTGGGGGCTGAGGCCGCCCGAGGTGGAGTGTTGCTGCAGTGGTTGAGGAGAATACTTTGACTGGTAGTGATTTGGAGCGCCAGGCGGAGGGTGGGAGTAACCCCCTCCCGCACAAAGCGGATAGTACGACGGAGTCGCCATCGTTGGGCTCCCGACGGCGGCCGCCGCTGCCGCCGCCGCTGCGGCCGCCGCAGCAGCCGCAGCTGATGACGGGGAGCTGTCCTTTCTGGAGTCTGCTGTTTCACGGGTACAACCAGGGTAACCGTACATAGCGTTCTGCGGACCCACTTGTTGCTGAGCTTGTTGTTGTTGAGCTGTCGGCGGAGGTGGCGGCGGTGGTTGTAGAGGTTGTAATGTCTGTGGCTTTTGGCCATGGTACTGCATAGGATAATGAGCATAGCCGTAGTGCATGTTTTTGTGGCCTGCGCCGGAATAGCCCCGGAACGCGGTCGCGCCCCGCATCGACGGATGACTGGCGGGATACTGACTGGAGCACGCTTGAACGCGAGCGTCGGGATAGCCTTGTAGATTCCGAGCAGGAGCGGCGACAGAGCCCGACGCCATGCCGCGTGAGCCGTAGTAACCTTGGGAATAGCCATCGTGCTGGCCGTAGTAGGGTTCATTGATGTGCCTCGAGCTTGGAGTCATACTGGAAGCGAGAAAGAATTTCTACTTATTTTCATCCGGGAAGCCTGAGCTAAAATTGAATGTTTTTCGTCTGAGGACCAAAACAGTGACCTTTGCTCGATCTAACTCTATTTGTCCTTCAACATTCCTTCGAGTCTTCGCAGGATTCTCGACAGGAAGAATGTGAGCAGGGCAAGGCAGAAATTCTGAGCGATGGGAGAATTTATTTTCGAGCCAGTAAGCCTTCATTTTTTCTCGATTTGATATCTTGCCTTGTTCCAGACCCTCGCGGGAAATATCGGAAATAATGTAGAGGAGCACAAACGGCAGCGAGGAGAACTCGGTGTCACACCGATGGAGGATGGGTGGCCGTGATTGCTCGCGGAAAGATTGCTTTCGGCTTACTGGGACCTAACCGAGATACAACACAAAAATCGCGCCGTGCCACGACATGTTCCCATCGTCGGCCTGACCGAGATCATGAGTTTGAGCGCTCGCTTGGCATGGCCAAAGTGGTCGTGTGATAATGTTCGGTATACTCACTCGTCATTCCTTTCCGTTTTCACCGCTTCGGGGTTGAAAGATTTTTCGTGCTGTTGCTGCTGCTGTTGCTGTTGATGCTGTTGTTGCTGCTGCTGTTGTTGTTGCTGCTGTTGTTGTTGCTGCTGTTGTTGTTGCTGTTGTTGTTGTTGCTGCTGCTGTTGTCTCTCTTGGAATTCCTGGTAGGCGATATCGGGCTTGGGAGCGATAGGAATGGGTTTCGCGCTCTTGTTGGAGCCGGGCGTGTCCTCAAACTTGAAAAAGTCTTCCATCTGTTCGTATAGATTCCAAACCACTTTATAGTCTTGTCCCGACTGAGTGGCATTGGTTTTTCTCTTGTATAGATGCCTGTATTTGTCCCGCAGATTTCGCCACTTCGAAGCGGCCTCTTGCCCTGTAATCAAGGGTCTCGTCACAAATCCTCCTTGGAGCAGGAAATCTACCTACATATATGTCTGTCTACGACAGGAATAACTATGTCTGGTGATTTCCGTGACGCCACATCCTATTCACAGATGCCGGATGCAAGGAGAATCTCGAGGACAGAACAAAGTACCCGGAGTGTTTACTATCAACAAGAAGAGAAAGTTTGTTTTGTTAAGATTGGATGTTTGTCCTCGGTATGTCCCGCTGGTCCCTTTATCGCTATCGCGCTTCTTCCCTCGATCGGTGCATCGGCACGGTAAGAAAAGGTGCAACAACAAAGCGGAGAAACTCTATCGGCAACTCGTTCGGAAGTTCGCTCTTCCCCGGACCCCACCGATGGTCGATCATGCTCGAGATCCATCCCTCCAGGTTTCATGAAGCTGAGCCGAGTCGCGCGGAGAACGCCGTTCTCTTGAGACCGGGAACCGGTCGAGGTAGTCGAAGCTGATTCAGACTTGCTCGAGGAACAGTCTCGAAACTGAGACGCTTCGCGAGGCAAAGCCTTCGTAGTTAATCGCCGATAGTTCAGTTCCGCCGAAAGCTCGTTTCGGAGATCCAGGGCATTAAAACTCCGGACGCGTCGCAGAGCAGACGGTGCCTCTCAGATTGCGCACCAGCTAATCATAGCGACCGGGACCGCGTTAAATGAATATCCGGCGACAGCGAGTTCGGGAGTGGAGATACGTCCCAGTAGAACTATGTGCAATAAGCTCCGCGGATGGTGGCGGACGGAATCTCCACGGGAACGTGCCGTGTGCCCGCGTCACCGCCGGCTCCGACCGTCTCGTCTCTTGGGCAGCAGCCCCCGTCGCGACGCCATTCGGGTCGAGCACATCTCCGTCTTGAGCCGCTCGTCACGGAAATTTATTTTGTGTTTCGTATCTAATGACTAATGACCCACCTGTGAGGCCGTATTTGATGCCGATGACCTGCCACTGATTGTTTTTGACAGCTATGTTCTTGAAGTTGGGGTCGTTTCGATCGTAGAGGAAACGGCACTTTTGAATGTCGGAAACGAAGTCCGTGGCAGGGAAGGAACTGTTGTTTACGCTTGTGCTGGTACCGTTGTTGCTGCTGCCGTTGGAGTTACCACTACAAGAAGAAGTGGTCGTCGTCGTAGTCGCAGATGCTGTAGCTGTCGTTGTCGTTGTAGCAACAACCGCCGTAGTTGTTGCCGCCGCGGTAGACGTCGCCGTCGTGGGAACAGAATTCGCACATGAGCTGTTGGCGTTATTCCCCGCCGCGGCTGTGCAGGCGGTATTGTTTGAGCTGTTGGCGCTGGTGGTGCCGGTAGTGCTGTTGCTGCTCAGAGAGGAATCGCTTTCGGCGTTGACAACATTCGCATTGTTGTTTGCAGGACAGTTTGAAGGGTTGTTACTGCTGTTCGCGTTATTGTTCGGGACGTTGATGCCCGAGGGCGGCATACCACTGCTCAAGGTCTGGCAGTTTCCGGGCGCTGGAGGTGGCGGCATCAAGGTGGTCGCCGGTGATTTGAGATAGTTGTTGTTGTTCGCAATAATGTTATTATTGCTGTAACTGGTGTTGTTGTTGATGACAGGTTGTAGATGGTGGTGATGGTGATGGCATGCCGCCGATTGGAGCTGGTGATGGTGGAGAGGAACGTGGTGAGGATGATGCGTATGATGCGGATGGTGGGGATGTTGTAGGGGGTGCAGCTGGTGGAGCTGCTGTCCTTCACTCGCTTGCGGAGACGGCGGCTGTTGCTGCTGCTGCTGTTGATGATGCTGAAGCTGGAGTTGAAGTTGCTGGTGCTGGAGCTGCTGCTGATGCGGATGTTGTTGATGCAGTTGTGGACTCCCACCTGCACCTACAGCCCCGCCGCCGCCTCCTCCTCCCCCTCCTCCTCCGGAAAGCAACTGGCAATGGAAGTCACTGGCGATCGCTTGGAAGTCTTCCGACAAGTTCATGACGTGGCTGAATCCGTATAGCAGAGTTTTGTCTCGTACTCTACTCTCGGTGTATTGTGGCGGATGCGGAAGATTATTTGCTATTGCATCGAGAGCCGACCCGTGAGAGCTTCCGAATCTATTCTCTCCCTAGAATATTGCATCCCGGTAATCAATGAGCGTGACATCGAAGTAATGTGGGACCTCCCGCTTCTTCCTCCGCCTTCTTCTGGCTCGGATCCACGACTCGGTCTTGTTCTTCTTTCTCCTCGGAAACTTGTCGTCTGTGTTGAGCGGGTAAGTAGAAAGATGCTGTGGCGCCGGCAAGTTTCCCGTCTGCGTTCGCTGTGGCGCCCCTCGAAGAGTGATGTGGAATAGAGTGCGGTGACTTAATCTGCAATCAGGCTACTTTAGTCCAGGTCCCTTGCAATCAGGTAACGAACTCGCTAAAAATTGAGCGAGCGCCGAGCTAAGCTATTTACGCGCAGGCTCCCGTCTACTTCATGGACCCGTGGGCTTTCGTGTTCGACTGGGCTCTCTAGGATGGAAACAATCCGTTCTGGAATCTCTCATAACTTTATCCTCCTCTCCTCCCGAATTGAAAGAAGACAAGAAGAAGAAGCAGCAGCAGCACGCAATCGATCGACGTCAGTCAAACATTGAGTACGTTCAGCTGGAGGTCCAGAAGATCATACTCTATTCTAATTTGATCTCAACAAGATTATGTATTAAAGGTCGTTGTCGCATCGCGAAGAGCGAGCAGCCCCTCCGGTGTCTCGAATTCGATCGGAGCTCGCTCGGCGACGAATTTACACGGTGGCGCGTATCGAGAAGCGCGCCGATCCACCGGCCGCCGCTCGACAGACAAATGGACTGGCGAGCCGGGGAGCGGATAAAGGGTCCCCCGGATAGAACGTAAGGTTGCGCACGATGTCGCGCTCCGCGGAAAAGAGAGGGAGAAAGAAACACCGAGGGGAAGGCCGCCAGCCGTTCCCATCGCTTCCGAGGCCGTTCTCCCTCGAAGTTCTTCATCTTGCGCCGACAGCAACAAAAACGAATCAAACCCTCTCGCAATGAACCTCTGCCGACTTCTCTCTTCCCGAGAGTAGAGAGAGCGGAGAAGAGGCGGAACGGGGCCCCGCTGCAGCGGCGGCGCCGCCGACGACGGCTGAGTCCGTGATCAACCATTGAGTCATCGATTGATCCAAATCATCGATACCTCACCGACACCTCATCGAAATCAGTCTCTGCGTAGCAGTCCGCTCGCCGACGACGGGTCGCAGGAGAGGCATGAATACAATCAATGTCGTCAGATACGATGAAACTCATCCGAGAACCTCCCGAGCGCCGGTTTGGGATGTATGATGAATCTGAGGGAGAGTATGAATGCGTGCATGCATGAGTGGACGGACGGACGGACGGACGGACGGGCGGATGGATAGAAGGACGGATGAGTTATCCGGCTGCGCACTCGCCTGCCAACCGCGCCCCGCCGCCGAGGAGCTCCGACGCAGCGGGACGGGCGGGGAAAAGATCAGGGGAGGGAGGGGGGGGCGCTCCGGCCGTCCTCTCTTGCGCTTCCTCTTCTCCCACTTTCCCTCTTCGTGTTCTGCGACGGAAGGAAGGAAGGAAAACACTGCTGCAATGCGCCAATCGATCCGCTGGCCCGGATCGCCGCCGCCGCCGCTGCCGCCATTGCGCGGAGACGTCTCGCGTTTCGTGAGCGCTGCTCTCACGGCGAGAGCGTCGACGCCGATCCATGCGCGAGCGATCGCGGCTCAAGTCGACCAGGGGCAGACTGACGGTGATGATGATTGGGCAGCGGGGTAGATGGGGGGACGTTCGACGAGCACTCCCAAGTCAACAATCACGATCCGCGCACTCAGACTGGATTAATGATGCCGTCTTCCGCAGCGTGACCTGTTGCACCGAGGAGAGGCTTCAGTCGAATTGCTCGTTGCGGGCGTCTAAGACGCTCTCTCCTTCTTCCCCTTCCGTGAGCCCGTCCGTTCGTCCGCCATTCAGTCAAACAGTCTTCTACCGGGTGTTTAGTTCTCAAGGATAGACGGTCGGTCCGTCCGTCCATCCATCCGCCTGTCTGGCCGTCTTTCAGGCAGTCAGTTGGATGGACCGACCGACGGACGGGAATAGTAGAGCGAACGGCAGCTAGCTGCAGGGGCAGGGAGACCGGCGGGGCCCAGGACAAGGGGCTTTCCGCCACCAGCACCACGACTACCACCAACAGTGCAGCCGCCGTTGCTGCTGCTGCTGCAGCAGCCGTCGTCGTTGTCGCCGCCACCACCGTCGTTGCCACCGCCTCCTTCGAAGATGTTCTCGCCGAGTGGCTTACTCAAGCTCCCACCCCTTCCCCCCTTTGAGCAGCACCGCGGCCGGCTGCAACCGTCGCCGTCATTGCTACAACGTCGACGTCGCCGAGGACGACCACGGTTACCACCGCTTGTCCCCGGCAGTCGGGCGAGCGGACAGGCAGGCGAACGGGCGGCCGGCCGGCCGGCCGGCAATCTCACCCCTTCGACCCCAATCCATCGCGCTGCTTTTGCGGCCGGCGTCGCGCGCGACGGCGGCCCTTCTGCCAGACTCGGGGGCAAACACAGACCGGTTAGTTGGCCGACCGGTCTGGCTCGTCGTTGTCTGACTGGCGGCTCGGCCTGCTGTCTGCGGGCTGGATGCCTGGCTGGTTTTCGCAAAACACGATGTGTAGCTCGCCGAGAAGGGGGGCCAACGACCTAGGGGGCGAACGGATCGTTTTTCTGGCCACCGCGACGACGACGGCAGTACAGACAAACAAACCGCCGTCCGTCCGTCCGAGGGCCGGGCCCCCTTCCCGCCGCCGGAGAGCGGGCAATAAGCCCGAGCCTCAGCTCTCGAGCGACGCTCTTACGTGTAAACACAACAAATAGCAAGATTTGCAATCTCTCTCTACCATCGAAATCGGTGAAGATCAGCCGGACCACCGGTCGAGACCCGCGACCTGTTGTCGGTGGAAAAACTCCAAAGTGGAACTCGGGTCAGCCCCCGTGTTCGCTAGGAATCGATCCGATCGAGTTGACGAAACTGTAACCACAGAGTATTTCGTTCCGAGGACTCTTCAGCCGGAGTACCGGGGTCTCGAGAGTCCACGAGGAGCCACGAAGAGGATCGGAGTCGGAGACCTTGGTATGGAGACCGTAACGACCCGTGGACTGCGGTATCTGTCGTTGTGCAGGCGGTAAGTGTTGTACAGCTGTTGAGTAGCTACCGCCGCCGCCGCCAGCTGCTGGTGTTGTCGAGACCGTTCACCACCTCCGAAGCCTGTTCGGCACGGGGGACGAAGTGGGGGATGCTTTGCGGCGGGCAAGCGCGGTGCTCCGAGGCCCGCTGAGCTGCTTTCCTGCTGCCTGTCTGCTCGCGCGGCCGCCCGCCTGCCTGCCCGGCCGTCTGGATGGCTGGCTGGCTGACTGACTGCGGCGGCGGCGGCGGCGGCGGTGGTGGTAGCGGCAATACGACCCACCCGAACAAGCAAGAGGCCAGCAAGGAAGCATCCCTTGTCCCCCTTCCATTCCGCAGCCGCCGCCACCACAACCGTCGTCGTCTATCCTGAGGGGGTTGACCGACACTAGTGCAAGTCTTCCCCGACCCGTCGTACGCCGGGGCCCGCCCGACCGAGCGCCTGTCTGCCTGCCCGTTTGCCACTCGGCCTTTTAGCCGCAACTTGCCCCTTTTTGGCCCCACGGCCATCAAGGATAACACGTGCAAGAGACCACGCCGGTGCCGGCGTCGTCGCCGGCCGCACAAGGGGCCACCTGCTGAGCGAGTGAATTGCTGTTAAATGGAAAGGGGGAAAACGGCCGACTCGGGAAAAGAAAACAACGACAAGAAGGATGACGGGGCAACAGTAGACGATGACGTGAGCACCGGTCGAGGCGTCTCCCCCGCAAAGCTCGGGGAAGACGTCGGTCGGTCGGCCGCAGCGGCGGCGGCGGCAGCCGTCGTCTCGGTACAACAACAACGACAGCGTCTGTGACGAGGACGGCGGCGGCGGCGGCGGCGGCGACGACGACGAGTACGTCCACATCAACAAGGACGACGACGACAACGACAACAACAACGACGACGATAAGACGACGTTCCACGACGACAGACAGCCGTTTAGCCAGCCTTCGTGCCACGCTGCCGCAAACCACGTGCGACCACTCAAACGGCTACTGTTCGTAAACATTGCACAACGCGGCTCACAGACGCCGCCCCGCCGCTTCAGGACAGGAGCAGCATTCAATGCGGCACTCCATACAGAGAGCTGAGATTTGCGAGCGCAATCGATATGTCGCCGGAGCGCCGATCGGAACTCCGTACGGAATTTATATCGGATATATACGGTTCCTTCGTATCACATAGCGTTGTGATGGCGAACGGGATAATTCCTACCTACCCACCGTTTGTTCGAGCAAGCTAGCTACCTACGCTAGCTGAGCATGGGATTAAGCACGGGTCGGGTGTGTGAGGACTCCTACGTACAGGGAGCTATCGATGAACGCGGAGGCAGCTCACACGACCGAGACAACACACACTGGAGTTGATATCGGACGTCAGATTGTCCAGCAAGCTGACGGACGGCAAGCAAGCATCGTCATGATCATCGCAAGCACTCGCACACAAGCACGCGCACAAACACTCACTTACCCACCCGCTCGCTCGCTCACTTGCTCACCCGCTGACACCGCCAGGCAGGCAAGCTACGAAAGAAAATTTTAGAGCGAGAGGTCCTCTCCAAAGGCTCTGAGTTCGTTCGTTCGGTCGGTCGGTATGTCCGACCGTCGGTCGGTCGCTCCGACGCTCGTTCATCCGCTCGCTCACTCAGCCCCTATTTCATACACTATATCACTCACTCACTCGCTCGCTCGCTCGATCATTGGCCCGCTTCCTAGGATAGGGGATACTCCCTCACCAAATCTTGTGCGCTCCCCCCCTGGCGTTCGTTTGCGCGCTCCCTCTGTAGCTTCGTCAGGAGCGAGCAGACTCAC